GAATGCTACTTACCTTTGATTTATATGTGTTGACTCATTGTGCTTCAATTTCAGTTCCAAAATACTTTTAATGCAATTGAAGGAGACCATCGGGCATCGGTGGCATAACCAACCTAGGAAGTGCGAGACCGTTGCACTCCCAACTATTATCCAACGTGCAGTTAGTGTCTAAATGACCTTTAGATTTAAATTTGTGTATTAAAACTTGAACTGTCCACCAAAGGAGAGTATTAAGCACCACAGTTTGTTAGGAAGTCGCTACTGTTGTTACTTTCATCCTTGTTAAAGTAATTTATATGTTATGTGCTAGTTTTTGAATGCTCTAAATGCACGTTGAAAATCCTTATGTGGAAACACGATCGCTGTCACTGCGCACGCGTAAGATCTAAATCTTCCCGGTAACTTTTGATTGGTTAGGGCAGAACCAATGAGACAAAGTTGAAAAAAATTGCTGTTCATTTTCCGTCTTGCCAAAATTGCAAATTTTACTGTCGGCATACAAATGCAACACACAAGGCCATTAACTGGATTGACTTATAGTTTGAAACACGAGATTCATCTTTACTACACAAACATGTATGCTATTGCTAACGTAATGGTGTGTTAGGCTAAGGAGGGCGCTATTTCAAAAATCTAAATCTATTTTCATAACGCCACTAGGTTATATAATTCAGCGAGAAACAAAATGAAAATAAAAGATATGATTAATGTTATACTACATATCAATAGATTGGGATGAAGAAAAAAACAATAATCCATCGAAAATTATGGGGGCCTTTTAAGAAGCCGAGGGCTTAGTCCTGTTAAATGCCTTTAACAAATTTAAAAAAGAAAGAAATCGAAAACAATACGGAGACAATAGGGAAAACACGAATTCAAAATCTGATTAAATTAAATGGGACTGTGACAATGTGTGGTGTGTAGCCTCAAAATCATTCTGTTGACCGTATTTAAATTTTTCAGGAAGGAGGATCCTCTGTCTAAATGGTCATTCAGGGGGAAAAAAGATGTTTTGACATGCTGCCGGTAGTAAGGGTATTCTAAGTATTTGTTTAAAACAACTCCAAAAACTTGACACAGAGTTGCTGTGTTGTGGTGGACATCTAAGGTTTTTACTGGGAAGCATGGAGAGCATATGCATGGCATGGGGGGAGGGATGCTTGCCAATCCCTTGGAGAAATTTAAAAGAGATGAAAGGGGACGAAAACCACCAATTGTCTTGCAAAAAACTGGAAGTTGGCCCATTTCACTGTGAATGCTTTACCAATTCGCAAGTTGCTGATACCTCTTGTTGTAATAATATAATTACCTTGATGTATGTTTTATTTAATTTTTATTTTGTAAATTTAAATGTAATTCTGCCTCTGGGCCACGAAGTTTGAATGTTTTTAAATAAACAATAAAGAAAAGAGAAAAAGCCGAACAAGAAGACAAACGATTGGTTCCAACATTTTGTTTGTGTTGAGGGCAATTCTTTTGTGTTGATGGCGTTGCATCATGTTTGCGCGAAATTTATCAACACTCAAAGCCTGTCCCTTCTTTGCCGGTGAGGAAGTGCTTTTAATCAGGGTATTGACTGGTTCTCGGTCAGGTTTAGACTGGTTCTCGTTCCACTTTACAGACGACCTCCGACCGTAGGCGCCGGTAGCTTTAATGAATCCGGCAGAATCCTGCCGAGTGTATGTAAATGAGGAAACGACGCCCGCAAATCAAGCAAGATCGAGCTGATAGAATATTTTGCTTTTTCCTTTTTGTAACCCCCCCCAAAAAAAATCGCCATGAATTGTTCATTTAACTAAAAATTAACACAGTAACCACTTATTTGAGATAAATTGCCGTAAAATGGTTTACTGATGCCTAACATTGAAAACAAATTAGCACACTGTGATCAACAGAGGCTTAGCAAGGATAGGTACTTGTGCTTTATTCGCTTCCCTATGGCACAAATAGCATGAGGAACTGAAAGCGCCATAAAAAAAGATCCCTGCTGAAAAGTAATTCATGTTAGATCTGTACAGCATCCAAATTGTCAGGGCTAATCGCACCTAGCAGCCAGCTACAGGGACAGTGACCAGTCCAGCATGTCGGGTGAAACCCGACACGCAATGAGGCACAACGTGCGCAGAGATCAGTGAAAGCATCTGATGATCGGCCTGTTAGGTCAACAAAGCCAAGCACAATTTAAAAATAATGAACCATCAACAATGCCTCCTAGTGTCCAAAAGTGTCCAACCTTCCCCGCTGTTCCATGGTATCCAAGGCTAATGAATTTCCGTGCAAATTTTGGACGTAAAAACCCCACCGGTGTTACAGCTGAACAGCTTCACAGTCTGATTAGTATTTTGATTTGAAAGACATATTATGATAAGTAGTCTGGGAAGATTCTCAGGACAATGCTACTTAGGAGTGGAGCCTAGGTGTCAAGTCAAGATTATTTGTATAGTTGATTTAGCTAAATTTACTTGCTTTCAACAAATTTAAGCAAAACTTTTTCACAACTTGCCAAAGGAACAAGTTGTGCTTCGACATTATCCCAGATTTTGTCACCACAAACAATTTCCACAATTTTGAAACCGCAAACCCACTGTAAGAAACCTAGATTTCTCTCCCCTTTTTGGTGACCGAAACATTTTAAAACCAGCCACAGTTATAATGAATATGTAATATTAACTGCATTAATTAGGTTTTTAGGTTGGAACAAATCCCAATTGAAACTTGACTTTTTTAATTATTATAATGTTACGAAACAGATACAGAATCTGGTTTGTAGCAGTTTTTTTTTTTTTTTTTTTTTTGGTAATCAGGCACTTTTCATCCGAGAACCATTTTCTTAACTTGATTGGCATGTCTGGAATCGATAGTGTTCAACAGAGGACGGATTTCACTCTGATTAGCGCTCTCCTAACCTGTGAGGTCACCTTTTGTGCAAAGGAAAACGTCGCTTTGCGCCACTAAAGACATTTTCTTTGATACTGAGGACTTCAGCCCAAAGTTTTGACAAGTTTGAAATTTGGGCCATTTGGCCAAAGTCTTTGTTTCTTGCCGTTACTTTCTCCTTTATCTAACTTTAAGTTTCCATTACTTGCTTAATTATTGAAGAGTTAGAATGGTGTTAAAAACTACGTCCAGTTTGTTTGTGCGTATGTGTTTTGGTAATGTGCGTGCTAATTAATAGCCTTGTCGTCAGTCAAGACAGCTTGCTGTTTGGGTCAGAGGTATAATTCATTAGTATCTCCTGCATCACTTTACATTTTCATGACTTTTGACTGACATTATTTATCGGATTCTCTCGATATGCTTGTTACAGCGGAAAATGACAGTTACGAATCACTTTCAAAAGTGATTGACGTCTTTATCTTAAATTAAAAAAAATAGAGTAGCTGCATTTTGATCACAGCGTTTTCTGAAATTGGGCCAAACGGCTTTTGTTGATACTTCTGTGGATTAGCCCTCCCCCCACACTTATTGATGGAAATTCGACAGATGGAAATTGGAGTTCATGTCCTCGATTAACGAGCAAGGCTCTCCTGTCGAATTTGGGCCCACTCCGTTCACATGTAATATGAAGTTATAATGTCTCGCACGGACAGTACCCTTGGTTAGGCATATAAAAAACCCAATGAAATCAAGGTTTAGGTTACGACACAATATGGAAAGGAAGATAGTCTATCGCTTGATGTTGTTTTTGCCTTAAGCCTTATGCTGTTTCGCCTTGAGCCTGGTTAAGATCTGTGACGTGCCCTGTTTTTTTTAGCCCAGTTAATTAAGAAATACAAAGAGGAAAACAAAGACGCTCGAAAACTGATATCCAAATGCGAGGAAATCAGATCCCCTCGATCTGATGTCTATTAAGTTAAGAAGAAGCCAAAGGTAAATGGACGCTTTCTTTCGTAAAAAAAAATTTCAAATTTGCTTGTTTTGCCACTGAAAATGCGTATTCATCGTACATTTTGCTTCATCAATGAAGCAGTTTTGGCAGTTTAGCGAATTTAAGGTTTTGTGGATGATCTCAAAAGATAAAGATTTGCACAAAGGGACCTAATATCCGAAAAGCAAATCAAGAATGGCAACTAGTACGGTTACTGGAGACGCATTCATTCAATGTCCCTAAGCTCAAGCAAGTCATGTCAGAGTTGAAAGTGGTTGTTTATTCATGAATTCCTTTTTAAAAAACCTATTACACAACTGCACCAGGCCCGTGACTAGGTGGGGATGGAGGGGGTGTGTCCGCACCCCTCCCGCGACTAAAAGGTCCGCTTTTGAGGAAAGAAAAGATGCATTTGCTTTAAAGCAGCCCCGCAGGATTCGCACCCCCCCCCGAAAAGTCCTCGATACAGTCTTGTGCTCAACACCCTGCGTTGCGTTGAAGTCTAAGCATTCTTTTTTCTGAGCTGTTAGTCGGAGGGATTCAATATGCAGTAAGTGATCTCACAAAGTGATTTATGCTAATTACAGACCAACCTGATATTCTAAGGATGAAAGATTTATATGAAAATTTGAGGGAATAATTAAAAATTTAAATAATTTTCTGATTACATGCTTGTCCAAAGCTCCACTGCACGAAACAACTTGAGTAGCTATATATCAATATCTGAATCTTGACTTTTTCAGATATGTTTTTTACACAACAAAGGCCCTACCAGATCCTTCCGGTACTAACCTGTTTGTCAACTGCGCACGACGTGGAAAGCACAAAATTACCGATCGCATTGTTAAATGCAGACCTCTCCAGCCCTGATGCAAGAATCGAATCGTCACTCTCATTAAACGACCAATCCAATGGCTTGACTTTCGTTTACTTCGTCGATTTTCCGCAACAGTGAAACCCACCCAAAAGCTACTGACTAAAGACATGACGTATGATTGGCCATTATCAGTAGCCTATGACCAGTTTCCATTGCTCCGTCGAGAGTGAATCACGATGTGGGCCCCAATCATCGATATCGAACTCGGTATTTAAGGCAGCTCGGGAGGGTGAATTGACAGTTCGCTGCCTGAAGTTGGTCGAGATGGCACAGTTTGTTCTCTCCCTAGTCTGCTTGGCCTTATTGTGGGCCCAGAGCCTGACAGACAATGTTCCCACGCCGGGCATCACGGAATTCTCACCTAAACCAAGTGAGTATATTCAACGCTAAGGCATGAAAGTTTGAACATCTTCTTCATGGCAACTGTACATGTATGTCGCCAAGCAAACACATTGCTCACGCGTTTTGACGCAAATTGAGTTTTAACGTCGTTCATTATAAATCAAAAAGTTTCTAAATTCCTCGGTCACTTTGCCAAGTGTGGTCATCTGTTTTGCAAACTTTCCCCCTAAATCGGTTAACTTTAGCCAACGAACATTTGGTCTGGGTCGAATGGTCCTTAAAGGCTCATGGCCGTAAGGCACAACCTCTGGAATGAAACTCACTTCTGTCGCGGTATCCACTGCCATGATTCGGCCAGAGTTTCGTAAAGTGAATAGCCTTCGTCGATAAAATACACGTATTTCAATTTCTGTGGCACACATTTTGAAGGGCTTGTGAAAAATGGTTTTCTTTAATTATAATGGAAACTTGTACGTTTTAAACGATATTCAGAATGTAAAAGTTTCTGTTTTGATTAATAAATGGCAGTAAAATTTGAGTATGTCGTAACACGACATACTCGTATACAGAGTTTGCAACTCGATCCATAATTTTTATGCGCGTCAACACTTGCGCAAAGCGTTGCGTATCCGTCAGAATCACTTCCGGGGCGATTTTGACGGCCGAACGCAACGCACAATTTTTGTGTCCGTAAAAGTGAATGGTATGAACACAATCATGTTTGCAACGTACCCAAAAAAGGGTAGTCTTCGCTGCTGACATTCAGCCGTCGTGACAAAAAATTGTGAAGTTGCTATTATACACATGCGATGTGTATTTGAGCATGGAGGAATACCGACTTTAGGTAGTTTAGATTATTCCGATGACATCGCAGATAATCCTGGTACCAGTCTGGTTGAGTCTCATCCAAATAGGCCCATTATTTATCATCAAAAGTACTTGAGGAAGGTGACAAGCCACCCACTGGTTTCACTCAATAAATGTAGTTATTTGGTATAGGCCCTATATAAAGTACCAAAATTGTCGTGCTTTGCTGTTACCTTGAGGTCAACACAAGCTTCCAGAAGTAATTAATGACAGGTATGTTTGGACAATTTTAGAGAGATGACGTCTCTTGGTCTGGTTTGTTAGGTGGTGATAAAGCAACATCGAAGTGCTCGAGTTACCCATGCCCGGCCGGCAGCTTGATCTTTGAGGACACTTTTGACACATTCAACCTGGATGTCTGGGAGCATGAAATCACGGCTGGTGGAGGCGGGGTAAGATCAAGGGTCGATCCAGAACCAAATTCTTAGGAGCCAAACTTGAAGGAAGGGGACAAAAATATGGAAAGTTTTCCGGTAACCTTTTATGGCCTTCCTGAGGGATTACGCTACATTTTGGAAGTGGCTACTTTTTCGGCCTTTTTAAAATGCTCTTGGAAATTAAATAGACGTTGGATTTATTTTTTTTTGGGGGGGCATGGTCCTCGTTGACCCCCTGAATCCACCTTTGGGTGGATGATGACTACAAAACGGTACATATTGGGTGAAATTTCTGCACTGGACCCAGGCGGTGCACATTAATTGGGGGGGCTCTGGAAGCTGATAAGCTGTAGCTTGTACATAGGCTGTGTATAACACTTCAAACGGAGGCTTGGGGGGTGCACACACAATGTTGCCAGGGGGTCCGATCTCCATTCATACGAGCCAGGAGCAAAATGCTTGGATTTCAATTTTTGTCTAATTCATTTTTCTGCATTTTATTTCTCGTTTCAGAACTGGGAGTTTCAGTACTACACCAACAATCGCTCCAACAGCTATGTCAGGGACAATAAGCTCTTTATTAAACCGGTATGATTTGCCTGATCGCAACTTGCCTGAAAAAAATCCTACGAATTACCAACACCAGGAACTGATTTCTTTTTTTTTCGTTGTTTGCTATGTTTTTTTTTTCAATAGACGCTGACTTCTGACAGATATGGTGACGCTTTCATCACGTCAGGAACTCTGAACCTTTGGGGTAAGTGAAACAAGATCACTGGACCCTTTTTGGTGGGAAGGGGCTCAAAATCTGTCACAAGAATTCTTCCGGTAACAGTTGGAAGACTGTTGGTCAATGTTTGAACTTCCTAGATGTCTGCACCGTTCTTCTTCAGCTACACTTGAATCTGAAGATTGCAAGTCAACAACAACAACCTAAAATTGCAATCACACTTATCACACCTGTGAAAACGCAACCTATTGGCTCTGCTTCATTCAGGTGCTGCGCCGGCCGACGTGTGCACAGGGAACGCTTGGTCCGGCTGCCAGCGATCAGGTTCCTACAACCATGCAATCAATCCCGTCCAGTCGGCCCGCATCCGGACCGTCAACTCTTTCGCCTTTAAATACGGCAAGTTGGAGGTGGTGGCCAAAATGCCGACAGGGGATTGGCTGTGGCCCGGTAAGCCCGTGGAAGCAATCTCCTAGCTAACTTGAATCCTTGATCCCGATTGGTCCATCCATGGCAACTAGATGTAAATGTACTCTTTTACTCCATGTTAGACAAGCACTAGCGGGGTAAGACCTTTGCTATCCATATTGCTGTTTTCCGGCACACACACAAAAAATATACCAATAAAAGATACAGCTGTCGTCATTCATAAGTTCTATCTTTATTTCCATAGCTATTTGGCTTCTTCCAAAGCGTAACTCTTACGGTGGCTGGCCAGCATCAGGCGAAATCGATTTGGTCGAAAGCAAAGGTAAACTCAAGTTGTTACTGTGGAATTAAAGTGGGATTTGGTAGTTTTAAACTAGTGGATTAAATTACGACCCAAAAAGCCAGTGCAGTACAGACTGTATACAGGCCTGGTAAAAAATAATGTACAAAATGGAAAACAACATGTCTATACCTTGACGATGTTTAAAGACCTATTCTGGCTCAGCTAACTACCTGTAGAAGCGTCAGTTTAGACAGGACACACAATAATATTTTTAGTTCTGTCGTGATTATGGAAAATTGCCCAGTTTGCTTGAAACCTTCATTTTAAATGGCCCATTCATAGGAAATCGGAACCTGTATGACTGGCAAGGCAGGAATGTGGGCGTCAACCAGGTGGGCTGTACCATGCACTGGGGACCGTTTTGGCCCCTGAACGGCTGGTCTAGGACGCACGCTTCCAAGTAGGTCTTGATAGCAGATCATAAAAAAAATGCTCATTTTCACTGGTGCTCCTAAACTGATTCGACATGATGTTGAATGGAGCTCAGCCCTGTTGAATGGAGCTCAGCTTGACGGATGCATCGCTTGTGGTCAACATTTTGTAAAGATCAATGAGTTAATTCTGTCGCTCGCACCATCGTCCTTGAAACTAGTTTGTATAAACTCAACACACTGCAATTCAGATGCCTGCAACATCACCTCAAGTTAACAGACAAACAATTTTTATTTTTTCCCCTAAGAACTGTGTCCTCTTGGCAAAACTTTGGGAAAGACTTCCACAAATACGAACTGGTATGGACATCCAGTGGACTAAAGTAAGTAAAAGCGTCAACCTTTGTTGCTACGACCAAGTTTTGAGAACAAATTTGTCATTTTTCCCCAGCATTTCTCTCCCAACCCCTGTTTTCCTGAATTTAAAAAGAGCTACCCTATTCAAGGGTAAACCATTGATATCATCGTTTAAAAAGCTTTGACACAAAGTAAACAATTTAAGTCCTGTAAACAAACACCACCAGGTTCTATGTGGACGGCGGGCTCCTTCTGAACGTAAACCCTGGCTACAACGGCTTCTGGGGAATGGGCGAGTTTGGAAAGCACAACCCGGGCATCACAAATCCATGGGCTGGCTCCAAGTCCAAGGTTGTACCCTTCGATCAGGAAGTAAGCCATAACCCTACTCACACGTCCTCTGTGAAACAGGGAGAGTTGAGGCCTTTCGTGAGACTTTCACGTGGAACATTCAAAAGTGCAAGTACCGATTTTCAAGCCTGAACCAAAAATGAAACTTAACAACATGCAGCAATGAAATATTGGTAGCCCTTTTGATTATTTCTGCATAAGGAAATGATAGTTAAACCTCAGCCTATGCTAAGGCTGCCCACCAGCAACATTCGTCAAACGCCTGCAAAAAGTAATCCTAGCTGTACTCTCAAGTGCACTTGCTTTATTTTGTCCCCAGTTTTACATCATTCTCAATGTGGCCGTGGGGGGCACCAACGGCTTCTTCTCTGATTCTCTGAACAACACGCCGTACAAAAAGCCGTGGCACAACTCCTCTGGTACCGCCCTCTCGGATTTCTGGCGTGCCAAGCACAAGTGGTACCCGACCTGGAACCCGCACGTCAACAACGGAGAAGACGCAGCCATGCAGATTAAATCCATTCGCGTGTGGGCTGTTTAGTTGAGAACCTTGGCGTCCTGACCAGTTCTTGTCTGAACTGTTGTGCGGAACGGTTCATGCTATCGTTCGGATTTTAAGGACTTTTAGTCTTGAAATGTTCTACTCGGAATGACAATGTTGCATGTTTGTTTAATAGCTGTTGACCGGTAATGCCCTTTGACCCTTTAATTTTAATGAATTGAACTTATTGCGTTTCTGTTTATGAATCTGAACTAGTTTTAACTTTTTTCGTCAAACAAGTTTCACCCGTTGAATAAGTGGCAATATTTCTTCTTTGTTTTAATAGCTGTTTAGCTGTCTTGTTGGTTTTTTCTTTCAATTTTGATTGGTATGGGGCTACGCTTTTCCGTTTTTAGGTTTGATTTTTTTTCATTTAAACAAAATGTTGCCACTTGATACACAGATGCAGAGGAAATACTGCATGTAACCTATTCTTGCAATTCAGTTGTTAGTGAAATATGTCAAAGAGAGGCTACCCTCATTATGATATCCGAAAGGGCATACAAACTGCAGGAGTAAAATTGTTTGACTTGTGCCTACAGAAATAAATCATACTTGCAAGTATTTGTTTCATTTTGCTGTAATATTTGCAGTGTCTTTTGAGTTTTTACAAAAAGATGGAATTCCTCTGAAAATGCTCAGATATGCCATGACATCAATATTTAATCTCTGTCATAAAAGCCCTTTCAAATATACAACTACTCTATTACAAATGTAAAGCATGGAGTTTAAAATATATCATAAAAGAAACAAAAACCACAAAAAATTCGATCACAATTGGATGATGAAGAATGGATCCGTGACGTGAGCATTCGTCAAAAGCAGATCACTAAAGCTTCTGGCGACAAAAGGTGCTCCAATGAATTTCTTGATGAAGCCAGTTACCATAGTAACACTATCACTAGCCATTTGCAGTGGCTCCCACCAATGCCAGTAAGCGCTGTGATAACTATTGTGTGTTATGTGACAGTTGCTGCCTGGAAAACCCAACACAATGGTTTTGGCCATTAAAGGGGGCCATCAGGAATGTACAGTGGGATTTTGCTTGATTTGTCTGTGAAACGATCGCCTGAGACCTGCCCCATTACTGTCAACTCTTGATGAACTGCTCTGCTGTTAGAAACAGCAAATTATGACATCCCAAGATTTCAGAATTCTTTTATCTTCATTTCCATTCTTTGACAAAGTTCTGGTTGTAACAAGTTAATTTTCCAGTCTTAACAACCTCATGATTATAATTTTTCATAACAGACTTATCCTCAAAGAGAAAATTGATCCCAAAACCATGGTCCATGGGTTATAGGATTGCACTTGGATTTCTTTGAGGTACCATTATGGGCAATAAGCTGATTGTTACTAAGTCTTTCCATTTACTTCTAAATGGCTAAGCAGTCTGTTCAGCCTGGATGATCTTCTGATATCGGCATCCCCATTTGCTTCTCCAGAGTTGTCAAGGCTTTGCCGTGGCCACCCTCTGTCTGTGCGGTCAGCATATCTGTTCAACTTTTTCCTGTGAATCAAATCTTTGAACATTTTGCAAGTCCAAACTTGTTTTTGGCAAACAAGTGAAACATATATGTCTCCGCCTCTCAGACGCTCACCAAGAGATTAGTGGCAGAATTTTCTCTTGTCTCTGTACAGCAAACTGACGGGTGGGTCGGCAGATCTGGTCTCACGTTCTCTGTCTGATTCCAATGCCTCCTCCTCGTCAGTGGCTCCGCCCACTTCAGAGCTTCCATAATATGCATTGGTCATCGTCGTCACCACCGTCTTGAGTCTGTCACCATACCCTTGGGAGGTTGCGAACTTTCCGAGCATTAAGATTGAAAATGGACCAACTTCCAGCTTTTTAGAGGAAAATTGATGATTTTCATCCACTTTAATCTCTTTTAAATTTCTTCAGGGGATTGGCAAGCACCCCTCCCCCGCTACGCCCATGCGTATGTACCGTCTTTACAGTAAATACCCTGGATGTCCACCAAACAATAAAGCAGCACATTAAAAAAAATCTTGGCCAATTCTCACTGTTAACGTTCGGCCAGCTCGCAAGTTGCTGACAACCCCTGGAAAAAGGTGACGAAGCCTGCAAAAAGAAGACAAATTCTGAGTTTTGACAATTTTTGTATTGAGGGCCCTTCAATGAATGTAGCCGTTTTGTCGGACTTTTCCTAACATCAACTAATCTTGAACTTCCCGTTTGCGCGAAATTTCCCAGCAGCCTGTCCCTTCTGTGCCGGTGAGGGCGTGCTTTTAGTCAGGTTGAAAAAACAGACACCGCGATAGTCAGCGTAACGTCCGACAGGCACCAGACTGTTAATTGAATCCATTTTTTTGTGAACGCGTCCGGCGGCAGATTTTGAACGGAAGAACTTCTGAAGACTTTACTAGTTTCACTCATTTTTTTCTGGTTTGGTAAGCAGCAGACAGAGTAACTTTTACTGAATTCAACTCCTCTGAAATAGACATGTTATTCTTTACTTAGAATTCAACAATATTTGTCACTCCCCGAATGGCCGAACATGCCAAATCAAATGCTTTCAGAACTTGAACGTTAATAAATGAATCGTCAGTCATGTAGAAAATGTCAGGGCTACGTTTTTAGAAGATTGCTGTCTGTTTTTGTTGCACCAGTTGGTTGTACTGAACACGAGAACTAGACCAATATATAACAGATGGATCTCGAACATTATTTCCCTTAAAAGGTCCTTCAGGGGTGGGCCTGTCATGCCCGTGAATCCAGTCAGTAGGCATGGTAGGGGAAGAGTTATATATACTGGCATGCTGGTGCTAGTAATTATTCCCTACTGTGACCTTGCTATCAGAAAGCTAAAACATATCCAGAAATTTCAATTTAGGAGGGAACATACCAAGTCATTTACTGAGAAAACACTTTTTTCAGACCAGTCTTACACGGTTTATGCACGGGATGTCAAGTGCCAAGTGGCGTCCATAAACTCTTTGATCTTTCTACATCATACATGTAGGCTAGGTTGGCAAAGACAATTGTGCAATTCATGATGTTCATTAAACATGCAAAAACTGGTCTGGCTGAATGTGGCTGGAAATCCCTGAGAATTTTTTTTTGAATCTCTGATCTGTGTTCCTGTTGTCTCATAGTATCAATTCATACTCCACAAACTTGTTTATTTATTGTTAATCGTGCCAAGCATTAACTGTGCATCTGTTGGCGAAGCTTTCTGTCTTTATTTTTTCCAAACAGCTTGAACCGCTGACATCGCTGTCAGCATAATGACGGCACTCATTGGTCGGAGGCATTTGCATAGTGATGCCCCTGGATCAGCCTACTTCCCAACCAAGCCAGGCCAGAATTCAAGGCAGTCATACGAAGGGCAGCCGAGGTCAGACGCGGTTCCCCTCAACTTCCCTGCTACCAAAGACATCCTGTGGTGGGTATTTACACTTTTATTTTTGTGATTTAAGAGAAGAAGCATCTGTGATTCTTGCACATTTGATTTTAACTCGGATTGAATTCAACCTGTTTTCCACTCAAAAAATGTTTTCTCTGCTCTAACGGCTTGCACAGCATGCCATTCTGGTAAGAGTTTTTGTGTTTGTCTGTTTTCATTTCCACAGGGACAGAACACCAACTGGAGAGCCAACAGTGTTACATATCATAAAATACAGAAACATCAGTCTACACATCTTGGAGAAGTCGGTGCAACTAGCCTATCGCCATGCTCTGCAAGAGAAAAGCCTTCCTTATAGATGCTTCTTAATTGGCTCAGTGATCTCTGACAAGGGTAAAAACACAGCCGAAAGTTTACCACTTTTCTGATTTTCTTCAAATTGCAGCATTCTTTGAAAAAAATTTGCTTTTTGAACAAAATTCCTGCTAAATTGGCCCAACTGACCATGCCCACCTCTTTAATCATTGCACAGATGAGGAAGGAGTGACCATTGCTGTTGACCGCTTTGATCCTGGTCAGGATGTCCCCGGCCGGTCCGGTCGCATGCCCACAGCCAGACTGCCTGGCGATCATGTGATTCCCCTAACCCTATCAAGCAGCCATGACAAAGCAGCCACTACTCACAGCACGGAAGACTTCAAAGCTACCTTCAAGGTAATATAGCTAGAGTGTGTCAGGGTGTGTTTGTGCCTTTCTTTGACAGTCTTAATTTGTCACACAAATATATTAGTGTACAATATTCCCAGCTTGAATGCCCGTTTTTCACTTCTCGACAAACATAGACAATCTCCATATACAGTTTGAAGCTCTCAATGGAACTGTGCAATCAAGAGTCATATCGCTTTGTGGTACCCAAAGGTCATGATTGGCCAAGTGTCTGGTTACTTGCTGATAAGGCGAGAGAGGTTGTCTGGATTCCTAACCTAAAACAAGAACCACTTTCCTACGTCCACAAACCAACTCCTATTGAAAATTCTCCCACCAGCAAATGTTCTACTGCTTACTGTTTCTTGGAAGTTTTAGAATGTGCAAAATCCTTTTTGAGTAATGTAAGAGGTAACATGAAACCAAGTTCTTGAAAGTACGGCCATTTAGTTCAGGAACCTGGTGGCAGTTCAGCTACCAGGCTGGCTGAGTGATCACGCCTTATGCACCTTAATGACCAAACGTGTATGTTAATGATATGCATACATATTAATGACAGATATGCACATTAATGACAGATATGCATATTAATGACAGATATGCATATTAATGACCAGGCATGCATTTTCCTTTGATTGGTGCGTTCTTTCTCTGTTTCCTTTATCAGTTTTTGGAGCACAGCTGTAGCAGTCGCGACACACCAGACATCGGTAATTTCCTCTCCCTGCGCATCCAGTGCTGCTGTTATGATAGTGCCGACGATATGACCTTTAACCTCCACATTGGGGCAATCACCATGGGCAACGTCTTGGAGGCCACACCCATCAATCCCCTCCCTATCATACCCACCGCCCTGGCAAGAAACCTAACAGGGCCCCTCAACCTGAGCGAGATTCAGGGCTGTCCAAAGGCTGGGTAGGTCACCCAGAACCGCTTTCCTGAGATGTCTTCTTTTCTGTTTACCATCATATTTAAGTATGACAAACTCATCTGCACTGGTCCATCCTTTCTGGGAAATATTCAAGTGATGTTCGGGTGTACACCTCTTGGCACAGTGAAAAGACTTGAAGTTTGGATTTCACACTCAGAAAACTGTGGAGACTTTGAAAATGGCTTAGTTTTGCATCGTCTTTGGAACTCTTTGCCGAATGAGCTCAAAGCAGCCTTGACCAATTACTTGTTCAGTGCCCTATTGAATTCAGGTCTACCTTGGAACAGTGTGTGTACTGTTACTGCCAGGGTTTCATCTAGAATACCTGCTTGTCCCTTCCCAGCCAAATTTAAAAACTGCCTCTCCACTCCCAGGAAAATTGAGACTGGCACCCCTTGATGCTATCTGAGGCCATATTTCCACTGCACCTCGGTATTTTAGAAGGAAATGTTAAGACTTTTTCACCGGTGTTAGAGATTAATATGAAAAACAAGGGCTTGTAAATTTTGAACAAGCAAAAACTGCCTGTCCAATTTAGGTTTTGCCTGTCCTCGGAACAGGTGGGATCAGACACCATCTTGTGTCCAATATTTTTGCTTGTTGTTAGTAAGGCACCTGTCTTGTGTTTGCTAGGTACATCACCATGGATCAAACACGCAAGCTTCTACTTCTGCTGGAGTCAGATCCTAAAGCCTGCACTCTGCCGTTGATTGGAATGTAAGTCAAGCCAACGATTATTTTCTTTACAGTAAGAAGTGACAGTACCCTTTCTGTATTGCTGTGGAATTTGCCAGTACAGGAGCAAGGGATTATGCTGTGTCACCACACACCAGACAGCAGCGTGTTTTAGTAATTTTCATTCCTTTTTGTTTTAGATGGGTGAGTGGGCTTAGTAACATCTGCAGTCCCAACGTTTGGGCAAGTTCTCTGCGATATATATTCAACAGCAGTATCAGTGAACGGTAAGCGAAGACCCATTTTACAATTTCTTCAAAATTTACAGGAAATTCTCTGCAGTCAGATTTTTGGGAGAAGTTTCCAAAATCCATGATGATTTCTTGGCTTGAGAATTCTCAGAACAGATTCCAAGAGTCTTAGTAGGAATGTGATTCCCTGAAAAGAGGCGTGTCGGATGTTTATTGTGGACACTTCTATCAATTTTGGGGCATTTTTTCCTCCTTTTTTAATAACTAAACCCGAAAGTATCTTCAGTGCAACCAAATATTTCTGGAGTAGGCTAGCCTCGCACAATAAACGCCGCAGCAAATCATCAGTAATCTGTTTTGAAATGAATCCTCAGTGGAAGACAGTCCAATTTTTTTTTGTTGTGTTTGTGATACAGAGTATGCACAGGGGACCAAGGATTTCTGCTGGTCATGTTCTCTCCAACAAATCGTCAACCAGCTTTCTATGAATGTCGCAGCCTCAGTGGTGACAGGCCCGTCTTTGAGTTGGTTGGCTGCCGAGAAAATATCCATTTCTACAAAGTACGAAAGCACCATAATAATGTTTGGGTTGGACTTTTTGCAAACTTCGCTCCAACCTCTCACATATTGTGTTATGGCATAGATGATTGCTTGATTAGGAATTCTTTGATTTGATAATTGTATATGTAAGTGCTTTTAATTTTAGACTTCAAAAAAACCGTGTATGATGTCTGATCAGGACTAAATGAATGACAATTGCGGAGCTGAAATGACGGACAAAAGGAGGCACAACGTGTTGTATTGATATTCCACATAAGAGTGTAATACGGTTCATGCTGTTCAGGTCAAAGGTCATAAGCATATACTGCTCTAGAACACATGCAGCAGAAGATGATTATGCAAATGCATTGCAATAATGCAAAAGTTGAAATGTCCATTTGATGGATAGTTTGTTGCCATAGATGTGTCTCTCTGTGTTCCCTGTGGTCACATTTCTCCCTTACCCTTGCCTCCAGCACACTGACCACACATCACGCACCCCAGTCCAGCTAGAGCTGACCACAGCCAGGGACGGCCCCAACCGGGCTGCCTTCATTGAGGCAGCTCAACAATTCACACCTGCCTGGTAAGCACTCGATACAAGCTGTTGGATTAACTCTAACCTTCTGGGATCTTTGACAGCAGGGATGTTTTTGAGAGCTATAATCGGCACTGACAAGCCCTGTTCCATAGCTGCTTATGACCTAGCCTTTAGAATGTTTTGTTTTACTTGGAGTATAAAGTCATCTTGCCAAGCGCTATTACTGCAGAGGGTTGACAGTGGTCATCTGGATATTCCAAAGCAGTGTTTGAAAGCAATTTGCACTCTTTGCTCTGTAGTTCCAGTCAAGCCATACAAACCAAGCCGCATCCTAAGCCGACACCCATTCCGAGCACCTACATGGTCACAGCATCAGAGGAGGATGCACATATGATGCCCAGACCAAGCCCCAAGCCTCTCATTGACAAGGTAAAGAACGTTTAAAAAAATTCAGAAGTCTTCTGTGGGAGCTTGTTGGTTTTTTGGAATGGTGCCAAGTCGTCTTATTCTGCTCTCTGACTTTCCTTGTTTTCCTTTCATCATGGATGCTATCCGCTGATATGCATCTCACATCAGAACTACGAGGAACAGTGAAATTGGTCTGGCGAAATGTTAACTTCAAAACAGTGACGTTGTCCTCAACCTACTGTTCACGTCCCTTGTGCTCATGTCCTTTCTTATGGTCTCTTCTGAATAAGAGGTGGAGTGTTTTTCTCTCCTGCCAGCATTTATTTGGTTTTGGATATCTCTGCACAGTTTGTACAAATCAAAGTAAATTTTGACTACAAATCTTTGACTGCCCAGAAGAAGTAAAACCCTGATGGTGAACAGGTTGGCTAAGTCCTGTTGTTCCGTTTAAGATATTCAGATATTTGATTGATTTTTGCAAAATTGAATATTTAATCAGAGATGAATTATTGAGATTGAATCAGCTCTGAAGTCTGGTGTGATTGTCTTTTCTTTAGAGCCCAACTGTGAAACCAAGCGTGCCGGAGCTGTCTGTGATCTTTGACAGCTTCATCGCGGATCAGCAAGAATTGGGTCAGCCTCCCCACCCCCAAGAACTGGTGGACCCCCCAGCCCCCTTGGGTGAGGTCATCCCTCAAGAAGAGCTGCCAGAAGGTTACAGAAATCCCAGACACCAAGTGGCAGGTGATGTTCAGGCTGCACAAGAAAATTACCCGTTTGGAATTGGGTCAAACGGTCAAGAGGGTCTCATCGGACGAGGGATGAAAGTGGGTCATTCAGGTGCTCCAGCTGGCAGATCAGGCCCATTGAAACCTGTCAACACTAACCTGGCTCGTGATGGGGAGAAATCCTTACTGTCAAATCCTCACAATCCACAAGGTAAAATCGAGCCATCCCGACCTGGCATGAAGCCAACAGTAACCCCTTCCTTGGCTCAAAATGGAAGAATCCAACAGCCACGGGCTAAGCCCCATGGACCAGCACCACCCAAAGTACGACAGACTAATCAGGTGCTTCATGGTGATTCCACCCCTCGTAGGAAGCCTCCAAGACCCACATCCAGGAAGAGTGAGGTCCTGCAGCGTACTTTGCCCTCAAAGGTCGGGGGTCATCAGACTGTTCCACCACAAAAACAGGGTTGTCCACCTCCACGACGGATGTCTTACCCGGTGCCAGCGTCATCATCCCAGATGAACCATCACTCCAATGGTCCAGTTCCCCGTCCCCATCCAGTACAGAGTCGTCAGGCTTCGCAATCCACCGAATCCCAGGCTCGAAGAGGACCCCACCTCCGACATCCATCGTCTCATCAAACTTCAGGAGTCCCCCCACAAGATCCAAGCTCAGGAACAGTAGATCACCGTAGTCCAAACCCCTCAGATAATCTTCCAAACAACAGGCCCTTGTTAACGGATTCTAAAGTCTCCCCAACCCTCATAACTACCTCCGGCCACACTGCCTCCCATTTGATATCTGCCACTCCGAAGATTTCGTCTGGTTTGTCAGGCAGCTCGCCCATCAACCATTCTTATCCAATTACCACGTTAACCTGCACAGCAAGCACCCTCAATAATGTTCCCTATGAAGGTCATAATGCTCAGAGAAGTTCCTCCATGCCAAATCCTCATCCAGTTCCTCCTCCACATGGTCCCAGGCATACTGCAGTTGGTACTCCGCCAATATTAACTGGTACCCCCCAGGCATCTCATGCAGTTCCCTACCCAAATCAGGCAGAGTCTTCACCTACCAGTGTAGTTGGTTCCCACCCCTCTAACATGGTAGTTTCCTCACCCAGTGCTATACCAAACAACACCTTACCTGGACATCAAGGACCACCACTGATATCTACAGGACATGCCTCGGAGGGTGCCAACAGGAAGGATATTCCACCTGACGCACTCCCTCCCTCTGGACCAACACAGGAAGTGCATCAACAGCCACTGGTAGGCCAGGACATGCAAGGTGCACGTGGAGACTGGGACACAGGGGGTGGGAATGTAGACAACGACACCTTGGCACAACTGAAGAGGCAAGAGCAGTTGATTCAACAGCTTCAGGCGCAGGTACGTGAAGTCGATTGAAGTGACTTTGAACAGAAGAGCAAGGCTATCCCATGATATTGATGTTAACATGTATTGTGCTTAATTGCAATGGAATTGTAATGCTGAGTTGAAAAAAAATGTACTTTTAAATGACAGTGTTAAAACGTTGTCCCTGTCAATGTAAGAAATTACTTCAAAAGCCTCTGCTTCAATGTCTAAACTGCAGTTGAAGGGTTTATTTCCACAATGAGATATACTGAATCCCAAAATGCAATCTTTCCACAATAACGAAAGATCCATGAGCTTCAGTGGTGTACCACGTGTCCCTAAACTTCCTTTTCACTATCTTGACTCATTAAAGTTGTTTTCAGCGTCCAAAAACGGTAGAAACTGAATGCAGGCAACTGAGTGATGGAAGGATTCTGAAAGATACCGAAATGGTGCTTATCGCATTTTGGAAATAAAGTCTTGAGTTGTATCTCATTACTGAAGGGTGAGATTGCTGTAATGTATAACTCCACCACAAGAGGGCGTATTTGTGTTCCATCTAGCCATAACTTCAACAGGTTGTCAATATTATTGCATCTGTTGCTGTCAGCAGAACAGAATTCTTCACTAGAATGGTATCTTTCTATTGTTATTTCTGTTCACTGTAGATTCAGTTGTTACTGCAGGCCCGGGCTACTCAGTCCGTTCCACCTATCCCCAGTGGGCTGATGACACCCCCTGCAACGCCCACCTCTCCAGCAGCCAACAATCTGCCCCTGGCCACACCCACACCCAAACTTCCACACAGTCCCCATCCCAATCAGGTCACGCCCACTTCCTCAGTCATTACCGGGCAAGGAGTGGTCACACCAGTGGTGCAGCCTCTTGTGACCGCCACTGTCTCCACCGCCCACTCCATTTCAACAGACACTGGTCATGCTCCTCCCCTTCCAAAGACAACGTGCAGCACGGCCGTCATGACTGGCAAAAGTCTCCTGTGGCCAGATCCGACTGGTCCCCCCGTCAAAGGCAGCATTTCCGTAGCCACAAGCATAACGCCACAGTCAAGCCCGAACAAAGGCTCAATGAAACCAACCCATTCTGCCACCAACTGCCCTGTGACCCCTGACTTCGAGTTGACCCCCGAGAGTGACTCAGAAATGACCTTACCCTTGCAACAGACCAGAGATGAGACACAAAGCACAATGTTTGATGTGAGCGCTGTGGATCTACAAAGTTTCACAGAAGAAGGTTCTCCAAGACAAACCTCATCCCCAACAATGTAGGTACACCTTTGAAATAATTCACTAAATGTGTGAATTTTTTTTTGGTACTAGTATACCTGAGAGACAATTTTTGAAATGCTAACTTTAATAATGTTATCTTAAAAAAAATTTGCTTAGTGTAAGACAAGAGTTTGATAGAAGTTTGTGAATAAAGGTTTTCGGAAGTTCGTGAAGAGCCTGAAGTTATCTATATGGTTCACTTCTATAGTAGCCCCAAGTGGCTGCCTAGCAGAGAAGGTGACACGTTGCAGCCCATACACCCACAGACAACCCAGGGGGCATTCCCTATGGACAACCTGCAGAGCCCCGTGCTAGGCGAGAGTGCCAGTATCTGCTCCCCACAGGGGAGGGGATGGCAACCTCCCGATGGCACTGACATAGAGGACGGTAGTAGCAGTGACGATGACGACGGTGGAAGCCCTGAAGTGGGTGATGCCACTGATGAGGAGGAGGCGTCGGAATCAGACGGAGAACATAAGACCAGATCAGCTGACCAGCCCGTCAGTTTGCTATATAGGGATGAGAGAAAATTCTACCAAAATCTCTTGGTGAGCATCTTAGACGCGGAGACATAAATGTTTTATTCGTTTGCCAAAAATCAAGCTTGGACTTGAAAAAGGTTCAAAGTTTTGGAATTCATTTTGTTGTCTGTTTCTGCCTCTTTGGCTTCAACAGGGAAAAGTTGAACGGATGCTGACCGAACAAACAAAGGGTGGGGTTGATGGGAGCCACGGCAACACCTTGACAACTCCGGAGAAGCAAAGACAGATGGGATTGCCGGCATCAGAAGGTCATTCTGAAATGACAGCCGACTGCTCAGTCACGTACAGGTAAATGGAACCACTTAGTAACAATCGGCTTATTTCCATAACCATGCCTCAAAGAAATCCAAATGCAGTCCGACAAACCATGGACCACCAGTTTGGAATCAATTTCCTTTCTGAAGACCGAAATTATGGAACATTGTACTGTCAACTCTCATAATAACAAGGTTGCTATTACTAGCTAAATGAACTTGTGACAACCAGAAGGAAAAGGAAAATAAAAGAATTCTGAAAAATCTGCTGTTTCTAACAGCAAAACAGTTCATCAAGAGTTGACAGTAATGAGGCAGGTCTCAGGAGATCGTATCACGGACAAATCAAGTGACTTCTCACTGGAAATTCCTGATGGCCCGCTTTAATGGCAGAAACCATTTTGTTGGTTTTTCCACATAGCAACTCTCACATAAGACAAAATAGTTATCACAGTGCTTACAGGCATTGGTGGGAGCCGCTGCAAATGACCAGTGACAGGGTTGCCATGGTCACTGGCTTCGTCTAGAAAATTCATTGGAGCAACTATTGTCACCAAAACCTTTAACTGTGAGCTTTTGATGAATGCTCATGTTAAAGATCCATTTCCTTATTTCTCAGATCCATGTGTATGGTCAACTCTGAATTTTTTCCCCGCATCAACTACGTGTCCCTGATGGACATGCACCTGGACTCCCCCAACCTGAGCTATGAAGCCAACGCCATCGCTATGAAGTACCTGACCGAGGAGGAATTGACCCAGTTGTCAGCTGGGTTCAAAGGTCAGGCCACCTCCCTGGCCAAGGTCAACCCCCTGCTGCGCACTGCCCTGACGGGGCTGGGTGACATGGATGGGGCCAATGGTGTCTCTGCCGTGGATCTCTCCATGGCCAGCCGCAAGTACATGGAGAAGTACAACCTACTGGATACACCTGCCAAGAAGCCGGGCCATGCCCGGACTCTCGGGTTTGACACTATTGACGAAACCCCAGCTCAAAAATTCTTCACCAAGAAGACTCTGCAAGAAGGCCAAGTTGTATCTGGTAAGAAACGCCGGGTTAAGAAACCCAGGAAGGTGCTGAACACAGATGCCCCAGTGGTGACGGAAGGGGGGCCTTATCAAGGCCAGACCCTGACCAAAGCCTCAGAGCCCCTCCAGGAAGGCGGAGTAAGAATATCTTCCGAGCAGAGAACAACTCATGATGGAACTGATGCAAAGTCGACTGAGAAGTCATCCGGAAAAGTTCCGCCTCCGAAGCCACCTCGCCAGAGCCCAGCCAGTCATGCCCCATCAAGACCTTGGGGACAAACCAAACCAGAGACGGGCAAGGCAGAGGGTCAGAACAACCCAGCAAATGCCAGACACGAACCTGGGGACATCAGGCCCCAGACGTCTGATCGAACCACTCAAGAGAAATCCGGCAGCACCATCCTGGACATTGAGAGGTTGAAACAGCTTCCCAAGCTCTTTTAAGTCCTTGTTTCACACCTCTGGCCCTGCAATCGGTTGATAGCTGGAGGTAACACCATTCTGTGAAGACTGTGTTGACACAGGAAAGGTATGGAATAGTTTGCTTTAATATAAGATGGTTGTTTGAAAGTAATACATTCCTCGGTGTCACTGTGATGTAAAGGACAACTTGATGTGAAAGATGATATAACAAGTGGTGGTCATCTAAGAAGGGGGGGGGGGTTATTTTCTGTTATATCGAAAAAAGGTGTCAGCCAGGGAGGGGGCTTTCGAAACTTGATAGATTTTTGACATCCTGATTTTTAAAGAAAACTGTGGGAAAATGTTGGTTAGTCTGGCAAAGCAGTGGGAAGAATGGAAAGAAATTTTAAGACACGTGGAAAATGATTGGTAAAGGGACATGCATTTTAAAAGGTGAAGCTTTGAGGAATTTCGGCAGCCAGCTGCGTAGCTCCCTTCCAGGCAAACCTTGTTGCTAGCGTTTTTGAAATCGGATTGTTTAATGTAGTATTGTCATGACGTACATCTGTGATGCTAGTTGAATGTTTTTTTTTCGGTAAAATTGTGACAATTTTGTACATAGATACAATCAGTAATATACATCTGAATGTTGTGTGTTCATTTATTCTTATTTGACAGTACACAATATCAGAAATTCTTCAAGATTGGCGTTTTACGTTTGTAAATAATAGAGTATATATTTGAAGTGCTTTTTACATGTATAAGAGTGATTAAATATTGAAGAAATAGTATCTCTGAGCATTTTCTGAGGAATTTTCTATCTTTGTGATTTTTTTCATGATTCAGGGAAAAACACTCAAAACACCAAAACAAAAATTAAAAGTAAAATGAAAAACAGGCAAAAGAGGAAAATATGAGAGTCTGTGAGAAGGAAGACAGAGAAAGTATTGCTATTTCCAACAAACGCATGCAAGTGTGGTTTATTTCCATAGGTACCAGTCAAACCACTGTTCTCGTGCAGTTGATATGCCCTGTTGGATGTTGTTATACAGGTATGCTCTCTTTTACACGTTCTTTCTAAATTAATTGCAAGGATAGGTCGACATGCTCAGTATTTGCACTGCATCGGTGTATTCAGACAGCAAATCTTGTTTGATTGAAAAAGAAACAAAAAGCAAAAACGAAAACTCAAATGCATCGCTTCAAACTAATCACATTTGAAAGATAAAGTGCCAAGATGGCTAAACAACTATCATAACAAACATGAAATATTGCCACAATTCAATGAGTTAAACGTGTCGGATGAAAAGAATAAAAAATAATTGAAATTTATAAACAGAAATACTATAACTCCAACTAATCATAATTAAAAGGTAAAAGGGTAATTACTGCTCAACAGGTATTATTAACAAACTTGCACCATGCTATTCTGAGTAGAACATGTCAAGAATAAAATGTCCTTAAAGTCCGAACGATTGCATGAACTGTTCACGTCACGATGGCAGGTCAGACAAAAATTGGTCTGACGCCAAGGTTCTCAAATAGCCCACACGCGAACGGATTTAATCTGCATGGCGGCGTCTTCACCGTTGTTGACGTCAGGGTTCCAAGTTGGGTACCACTGGTCCTTGGCATTCCAGAAATCGGAGAGCGCGGTAGGGGAGGAGTTAAGCCAGGGCTTAGCGTAGGGTGTGTTGGTCAGAGAATCAGAGAAGTAGTTGGTGCCCCCCACAGCCACGTTGAGAATGATGTAAAACTGAAAATAAAAACAAGCTCGTACATTTGAGGACACAGCAAGTATTACTTTCTTTTGGTGCTTATTGAGCGTTGGTAGGGCAGTGTTTGTATGGGCTTAGAATGCAGAAACAGTCAGGAGGACTCTCCGAAAGTCATATTTCAGTGCTGTGAATATTGTTCAGCTTCTTCAAGCTGGACACCTAGTTTGGTTCTTGGTAGTTGCTCTTTTGAATATTCCACTTGGAAGTCTCACCAAGAGTCCTCAATAACTCTCCCCAAATCTTACTGAAAGGTAATTTTTTGAGGGATTGTTCCTGGATCATGGATATTCCTCCATACCGCAAGAAAGTAATTGGGCATTCCGTGTAAACTGCACTTCAAAGTTCAAGGGGTATCAAGTCTGCGCAAAGTTGGAATGGCGTGGTCCAAACGAGATCTTTTAGGATTAGGGAGGGGAAAATTTAGCGAATAGCGCAAAGGTTCCACAGAGGGGGATTTTTTTGAAGAGGACAAGTGAGTAGGGTTCAGGCTTACGTCCTGATCGAAGGGCACCACCTTGGAGCTGGAGCCAACCCACGGATTGGCGATGCCTGGGTTGCTCTTCTCAAACTCGCCCAGCTCCCAGAAGCCATTGGTGCCGGGGTCTACGTCCAGAATGAGCTCGTCGTCCACGTAGAACCTGGGGGAGGGATATTGCGATATCGGTCACTTCGATTCCGTCGGCATTAAATGACTGAATGGGTTTTTCAGGGTTGGAAATTGGGCTCAAGTTAAATTTACTCGTGGAGCTGAAACCTTGTAAGAATATTGCTGAAAGCTAGTGCCTAATGTCGGTACGGGGATAGTGGTCGAAATGCTTTATGTCAGTGCCCAACATGTTTATTGACATGACCTAAATTGTGTACTTCATGTCCAAGGTTTTGACTGGTGAAATCAATGGTTTACCCCTGAGTAGGGTCGTTATTTTCAATTCAGGAAACTGGGGGCAGGAAAAGAAACTTAGAGTGGTGGTAAAGTTGATACCCCTTCCCAAAAAAGATAAAACAATTACTGGAGGGAAAAAAAAAGAAAGAAAGATGATGATTTTACTTACTTTAGTCCATCAGATGTCCATTCCAGCTCGTACTTGTGGAAGTCCATCCCGAAGGTTTGTCCCGTGGGCAAATTTCTTGGGAAAAAAGATGAATTGTTTGTCTGTTAACTCGAGGTGATGTTGCAAGCATTGAATTGCAGTGTGTTGAGTTTATACAATCTCACGTCCTGGATGAAAACATGTGCATTACAGAATTAACTGAATGATCATGATATTATTACCCCTAACTAATGCGTCTCTCTAGCCAAACATTGGGATTGAGTTAAATTGGTTTGTTGCAGCATCGTTGAAAATAAGCCCACTTTTTATGGTCTGCTTTCAAGACCTACTTAGTAGAGTGTGTCTTAGGCCAGCCGTTCTGGGGCCAGAACGGACCCCAGTGCATAGTAGAGCCCATCTGGTTTACGCCAACATTCACACCATTCTCATCGACAAGGTTCAGGTTTCCTAGAGGTAAGATACAAGCACAGGGAAAAACGTGTCGTTTGAAATGTAATTTTTTTACAGCAAGCTATTTGAAGCTTGGCAATGCTCCATAAATCACATCAAAACTACAAGATGTAATATTTGCTGTGTGTCCTGTCTAAACTGACACTTCGACTCGTAGTTAGCTGAGCCAAAAGAATTCTGTAAACATCGTTAAGATAGTTTTTCCTTGTTAAAAACTACTGGCTGTTATGGTCTTTAAGCTGCTTTAAAACCACCCAAACACCCTTTTATTCCATAATTATGAGTTCTACCTCTGCTCTCGACCATATCGATTTCGCCTGATGCTGGCCAGCCACCGTAAGAGTTGCGCTTGGGAAGAAGCCAAATAGCTACGAAAATAAAGAAGAGGAGGATAGGAGTTATGAAATTATTATCTCAGCTGTATCTTTTATAGGTATTTTGCTGGAAGTGTGGGAAAAACTGTTATAGAGATGGCACGGGTCTTATCCCACTTGTGCTAGTGGAACATGGAGTAAAAGACTGCCTTTACATCTAGTTGCCATGGATGGACCAATCATGATTAAGGATTCAAATTAGCCTGGAGATTGTTACCAGGCCACAGCCAATCCCCTGTCGGCATCTTAGCCACCACCTCCACCCTGCCGTACTTGAAGGCGAAAGAGTGGACGGTCCGGATGCGGGCTGACTGGACGGGATTGATGGCGTTGGTGGGTGCGCCTGACCGCTGGCAGCCGGAGTAGGCATTCCCCGTGCACAGGTCAGCCGGCGAAGCACCTGCATCAATCAGAGACAAGAGTAGCATTTTCACAACTGTGACTGTCATTTTAGGCAGTTTTTGACGAGTAGGATCTTTTAATTCAAGCGTAGCTGAAGAGGGCTGTAGATTGGCGCAGACATCCAGGAATTTCTGACAATGACCAACAGTTTCCAGCTCCTAAGAAGAACTCTTGCGGCAGATTTTGAGTCCCTTTTCGCCTAAAAAAATCAAGATCTCCTAGTTTGACATACCCCAAAGGTCCAGAGTTCCTGATGTGATGAAACCCTCATCATATTTGTCAGAAGTCAGTGTCTATCGGGGGAAAAAGAGATTTAATAAGAAAGAAAAGAAATCAGTTTCTGGTGTTGGTAATTTGTAGGCGATCATTTGTACGTTAATATGCAGGTTTTGGTGTTGAAATTTGTCAGTCAAGTGCTAAATAGGCAATTCGTACAATACCGGCTTCAGAAAGAGAGTACTGTCCCTGACATAGCTGTTGGAGCGATTGTTGGTGTAGTACTGAAACTCCCAATTCTGAAACGAGAAACAAAATGCAGAAAGGGGAATTAAAAGAACATTGAAATCCAAGCACTTGGCTACTTTTCTTGCTCCCAGTATGTATAAAATTGTGTGCGTGTACCCCCCATGCCTCCATTTGAAGTTTACAGAGCCTGTGAACAGACCACAGCTCATTGGCTTTTGGGGCCCCCCCCCCAAAAAATGTGCGCACCCCCTGGGTCTAGCACAGAACCAATTGCATTGTACCCAAGGGTGGATCCAGGCGGCCAACCAGGGCCGTGCTTTCTTCCCAATAAACCCCAGATGTCTACTTTTCTTCCTTCCAAAGAGCATCTAAAAAGTCGGAATTTTTTGCTCCCCCCTTCCCTTCAGCTTGCTTCCTGAGAATTTGGTTCTGGATCTGCCCTTGATCCTACCCCGCCTCCACCAGCCGTGATCTCATGCTCCCAGACATCCAGGTTGAAAGTGTCGAAGGTGTCCTCAAAGATCAATCCGTTGCAAGGCTTGACAGACATATCGCAGCCCGCCATGCACGGGTAACTCGAGCACTCCGGTGTGGGTTTATCACCACCTAACAAACCAGATCAAGAGACGTCATCTCCTTAAGTTGTCCAAACATACCTGTCGTTTACTCCTGTTAGCTTGTATTGTCCACAAGGTAACAAGAAATTACGACTTTCTTTTCTCAGAAGTTGGACAGTATTTTGTTACTTTATATACATAATGACAAATCACTGACTGTAACCAGCCCTTGGCTTGTTTGACGAATTCAAAATTGAAACTTATTTCTCCCCAGATTGTGGTCATCTTCCTGAAAGTACTTTTGAGGATAAACAATGGGCTTATTTGGATAAAGCTCAACTTGGCACACAAATTACTGCACACTTATGTCAGCCAGATGGTTTGAATTCAATGAACAAGTGGCATACAAGTACCATAACGGATCTTGGAAAATGGAATGTCAAACTGTCACGTTTGTGTGATGTACAGAAGGAAAAGTGAAAGCTCAAGTACAAACCCCAAGACAGTGCCCCACCCCAATCGCTTTTCCACCACTCTCCCCACCACAGTCTCCCCATTACCACTACCCCATACCCCACTCCTAGCTATCCCACCCTTTCTCCCACTCCTCCTCACCCATTTCCCCACTCCTATCCCCACCCATTTCCCCACTCATATCCCCACCCCTTTCCCCACTCATATCCCCACCCCTTTCTCCACTCCTGTCCCACCCCTTCTCCTATCCCAACCCTTTCTCCCACTTCTATCCCCACCCTGGGGTCTAGCTTACCTGACGATCCATCTGCATCTGTCCAGGACTGTTCAGTCAGTGTATAGCCTCCACCATTGTATACCACCAACACCCAGTAGTACACTGTCCGGCCAGCCACAGAAATATCCTTGTTCTCATGAACCCAGTACCCACCTTGGGGTGAGCAAATTCGAAGACAAGGAGGATGTGTTTGAGTGTTTGTAAAATCATAAAAACCAAAAATCTAAACTATACCAATTACAAGAATTCTGCAGTCTTGCCTCACGCGTTTCCATTTTTCGATTACTTTTTCTTAGATCTCAAATTTCATTTAATTGGCAACAAGTCTGGACTTTTGTTGTTCAACGAAATATTCGACTATTTTCCATTTATTTCCAGTTTAAAACCAGTAATTTAAAAATGATGAAAACTCCATTACATAAAGATGATTATGCAAAATAAAAACCACAATATCCATCAACCCTTAAAAAGGGGACATCCCTTCCCTTAGGACGTGAGAAACTTATAAAAAGTTCACCCACCTGATGCGGAATTGACGTCAAAGTTGTACTGCCCTGCAGCCACGTTGTACAAGGGTGTGCCGATATTGTAATGATAGGCAACTAGAGTGATTCCTGGATTACCTGCAATTTCATTGGTGTCAATTGGTGTCAAATAGTCCAGATACAACTGAAATCTTTTATCGATAAAAGCAATTCACATTTCTGAAGTTTTTGTCTAAGGGCTGGGAGCTTAAGGCCTATAGGCCCAGACGAAATGTTCGTTGCTTAGTTCAAGAGGAAAGTTTGCTAAGCAGATGACCATACTTTGGTAAGTTGACCAAGGAATTTACAAACTCCTTGATATTTTTACGCACGGCTTTGAAACTCAAGTTTAGGCAAAACGTATTTGTTCGGCGACTTGCAAAAACCTTTTAAGAAGATGTTCAAACCGAAGTTGCCTTGGCGCTGGGTATACTCACTTGGTACGGCGAAGCGAATGCCTTGAGGTGAGATCAGCGTGATGTCTGGCGTGGGGACACTGTACGCCAGGCTCTGAGCACAAAATACGGTCAGGCAGACCAGGGAAAGAACAAATCGTGCCATCTCGACGAACTTCACGCAGCTAACTGTGAATTTACTCCGCTCGTGATCAACCCAGTCGCCTTAAATATCGAAATCGGTACCAATGATTGGGGCCCTATATCGTGATATCATTCACTCTCGATCGAGCGATAAAAGCCGTATCATAGGCTTGTGTTAATAGTCATCAAATTACGTCATGCTTCGAGTAAGTAGCTTATTGGCTGATGTTTCATTATCACGAAAAATCAACGCAGTAAACGAAAGTCAAGCGATTCGATTGGTCGTTTATTAATAAGAGTCACGATTTGATTCTCGAGGGCTACAGAGGTCTGCAGTGAACGATTCAATCGGTAAATGTGTCCTTTCCTCCAAGTTCGTGCACCGTTGACAAATCAAGCTGGTATCTAAAGGATCAGTATACCTTTGTTGTCAAAATATATATGAAAAGTCAATGATGACTTCCACTATAAAAGACTGGAACAATCTACCCGCTCTCGTTGTAAATAGTTCTTCACTGGATGTTTTCAAATCCAAGCTAAAGCAGCACCGCTAAATGATTTGGTCTAGTCATTCCACACGCAGTGCGCTTCTCAGAAGTTAGTGTGGATGTGTCTTGGAGGACATTTTGCTGACCAAACCATTCAGATTCAAAGTCAGTTTTAGGATATTGTATATATCACGCGGCATTCATCAACACCTGTTTTGTATAAGCAATAATCACAATTTAAAATGCTTTAGGTCTATCAAGTCAAATATAGTCGATATCCGAATTGAATTCCTATTGTATTCATCATTCTTGTTAATTATCCTTGATCAATACTTCATTCTTGCTATTGTTTCCATTTGCGTCAACAATTAGATCGGTCCGTATATTTTATACATTGCACGTAACAAATCAACGGTGTATTCTATTTTTATTCCTCCATGGTAGAATATGAAAGTCATCAGCGTAACAAAACAAACTTTTCCAGCGCAATCCGTTGTGAACAAGATTCTGTAAAAGCCATTTTTAGGGAAGCGCTCGACGCAACTCAGGGTTCATCTAAGTGCATTTTCTCGAAACAAATATCCCCTTAATTTTTCAGATTAATCTTTGACCTTTAATTGGCATAAGTCACTTTGTGAGACCACTGACGAAATCTCAAAACCTACCGTCTAACCACAGAACAGAAAAACAAATAATGTTTAAATTTCGACACAACGCAAGGTAATGTACAGTTACGTAATAGGTTAAAAATGGAATTCATGTATAAACAACCACTGTCGACGATGACCATACCTGCTTGGGGCATTGAATGAATGCCTCTAATAACCGTAGTTGCCGTCGTGGAGGAAGGACGCAAACCTTAATGTTGCCATGCATGATTTGCGTTTTGGATTTTTAAGTCCCTCTGTGCAAATCTTATCCTTTGAGATCATCGACCAAACCTTAAAACTGCTAAAAAAAACAGCAAGGAACAGGCTGCTTCATTAATTTCCGCGCTGTCGGGGTCACCAACTGCCGTATGAGGTCAATTTGGTGTAAGTTCAGGGAAAACCTGTTCACAGGACTTTCTTGCATTGTTGTTGTAACATACAACGCAGACTTGTAAAATTCAATATTTAAAACAGATTCTCTGCGATTCAGGGGTACTTTTACACTGAGAGAGGGGTGTTGAGGAGAATTTTGACCGTGTACACCGTCCCAAGTTGTGTTCTATTGACCGAGAGCGCACAAGTAGGTACGTCATGCATTATACTTTACATCGAAGCCCATTGAGGTCGCAACAAAGGAGGGGATTTCAACTCCGTCACAGCTTACCTAGAACTTATGAACAACGAGCCTGGAAAAGTGGGAAGGTTAGGGCTTCATACGAATAATTAGGGATCGATAAGTATAACATACGTCACAAGACCCGTCGTGAAGCTAAAGTCGCATCACGCTTCTCGCACAAAGGTGTACAAAAATAAGAAACGGAACGCTTTCAAATTGACTCGGATGCAATGGCGTCCATCAGTGTCTAGACTAATCAATTTCTCAGAAAGCAAAAGCAACATACTACAGGGGTGATTCAAAACAGTTAACCAAAGTTTAAAAGAAGTTTGGTTTGACTTACTGGCGATGAGTAGGGTATTTCGCAATAATCCCGAGGAAACAACGGTAGCCCTAGTTGAATTGGATCTCACGGTTTGGTGCGTTTCATGCAGATACCCTAAAATTTCAAGCATGGGGCGAGTAGTCACCTAATTTTGGGACGAGTTTTTGGAACCACCCTGAAAACTGCAACAAGTACACAGCAGAATGAATAATTGACTATTTTCCCCGTACCTGGGTATCGTAGGTGAATATCCATGTGTCTTTCGTTTTTTTCCCTTTGACTTCTTGAAACAGAAACGCCAAATGATGATACAGGCTAAACATGCATGATGCAGTTGCAGAACAAACAAGTTTGAAATTTATTTTACAGAGGAAAGCGTCAATTAACACAGAAATCCCCCAGAGGTTTAATTTCTTTTTTGGCTCCTTTTTCACTGAACACATCAGGTCGATCGAAGGGCAAAACTTCGATTTCCTCGTATGTGGTGATCATTGATTCCTCATGAATTCCGTACTGAATTGGGCTCAAAAACAGGGCACGTCACAGATCTGACCCAGCTGGGAGCAAAGACAACACAGGCAACGGGCGATAAATCGACCTCCTCACATTGTGTCGTAACCAAAACCTTGATTTCATTGGGGCTATATTCCTGATAAACAAGGGGACTGTCCGTGTGAAACAGTTTAACTTCAAATTACACGAGAACGGAGTGGGCCCAAATTCGACTGGCGAACCTTGTTTATTGTTAAATAGAGGACGTGATCTCCATCTGTGGAATTCCCATCGATAAGGGCGAGGGGGAGGGGCTAATCCACGAAAGTATCAACAAAAGCCGTTTGGCCCGATTTCAGGGAACACAGTGTTCAAAATGCAGCTGCCCTATTTTTCTTGTCAAGATAATGACGTCAATCATTTCTGGAAGTGAGCCTCGCAACTGCCATACCATGTTTAATAACCACATCGAGGGAATCTGCCAAATAACGTCCAGCAAAAGTCAACAAAGTGGAAAGTGATGCAGGAGATAATAAAGAGTTATACCTCTAACCCAAAAGGCAAGCTACCTTGACTGGAGACTTTTGACGACAAGGCTAGGCATATTAATTAGCACGCACATTAACAACAGTTTAAAAAGAAAGTAACAATGAAAACAAACGCTTCGGGGAAAAAACCCAACTTCAGTGAGCCAAATGGCGCAACTTTCAAACTCGTCAAACCTGAGGAGTTTAGTTCTAAGTATCAAAGAAAATCCTTTTAATATGTTGTAGGGTCAAAGTAGTAAATGTAGTGGTTGTGTACGTTCCCGGCCCTTTACAAAAAATTCTGACCTTACAACTGTATCAATGCGTGACGAACGCACTCCGTGCGTGCTTGTAAGCAAACACTTATCTCTCTGGCTATTTAGTTTTTACACTGAGCACTGAATCTCACAGCTCAATATTCTTTACGGATTGATACAGCTGTGGTCCATATAGAATAATGCCTGCGTTCTGAGCGTGTGTACAATGCATTTTCAATCAGTTAAGAGATACAAGGGCTAATAAAATAGAAATTTGCCCTCTGTTGAATAATATCGATTCCAGACATGTCAATCAAGTTAACAATAGTGTACACAGAAAGCCTGGTTACAAAAAAAAAAACAAGCTGCAAACCAGATAAGGTATTTGTTTCGTAAGTTGAAGATTATACTGGATAAGTCAAGGTTCAAACGTAATTCATTCCAGCTTGAAAACAGAATTATTTGGTTTCTAGTTGTTAATTTTATTAATCTAACATATTCATTATAACCTTGGCTGTTTTTAAAATGTTTAAAATGGGTGAGAGATCTAGGTTTCAGACACATACTTATGATGGGTTTGAGGTTTCATAATAGCGGAAATTGTTGGAGGTTACAGATCTAGGAGACTGTCAAAACCGCAACTTGTTTATTTAGTAAAATAAAAACAGTCAATAAAAGCCCTGGAGTGCCGTCAAGTTATGTTTTCAAAAAGTGAAGGATATTTTTCCAAGTTCGCTTTTATGAAGTATTTTTCCCAATTTCGTTATTTATGATATAAATTCTCCAGTTTGTTCCCATAAGATCTATAAATAGAAAGATTGTTTCTATTTTGGAAACTAATCGTTTTACAAGATATATTTTTCCAAGTTCGTTTTTAGGGTATTTTTAAAGTTCGTTTGGAACAAACGAGCTGTGGACAAAATATATCTCGTAAAAACAAAGTTGGTAAACCTACATCTCCTAAAAATGGGCTTCAAAAAATATACTTTACCAGGTCTTTTCTATTCATGAAAAATTAAGTTATTAAATCAAATACAAAAATAACCTTGCCTTAAAATCTGGGCTTCCCTCCACAATGTCATTTTCCTGAGAATCTTCCCAGATTACTTTCTATTTTATCAATTTAAAAAAAATAAATCTTTTAAATCAAAACGTCAATCGGATTGAGAAGCTCTACTGCTGTACAGCCGCGGGTTTTTTCTTCCAAAACAAAAAATACAGAAATTCATTAGCCTTAGAAAACTTTTAAAGCGGGGAGGGCTGGGCACTTTTGGACACTAGGGGGCACTATTCATGGTTCGTTATTTTTAAATTATGCCTGCGTTTATTAACCTACCAGGAATCAGCAGAAGCACCTCATTGCGTCTTCAGGCTTCATTTAATAATAGTAATAATGCTTTACTTCATTTTGCACAGTTCCTGAGCATGGAGAACCCTATCTTCGGAATGCTTTCTTTCAATGACCCTTGACCCTAGCTGTTTCATCAGTGGCTCAGGCTTTGTCCATCCCCTGTGACCAACTGGTGAAGCAGGACACGCCCCTGTCCTGGACGTGCTTGCGTCCCTGTGGCGTGATGACGTCGCCGTCCGGCTTGACGATAATGAGCTGCGGTATTGCCGTGATGCTGAACCTGTCTTTCAGTTCACTGCAGTTGAGGGGGAAAAAAATCCGTTGTCCGGTAAAGAGAAAGTGGATATCATAACCCTGGACCTGGCGTCCTTTCTAATGCCAGCCTGACAATATGGTTCAGCCACTGCAGATCTGTAATGACCCCTCATTATATGACCTGATCCAGGCACCAATGAGTGAATTTGACCCCTGGTCAACCATTACAGAGTAGCATCCCACCAACAGGGTCACCAGAAAACAAACCCTCAAGCACATTACATCTTGCTGAACGTCAGAGGTCAAAATAATAATAGTGAATGGGGGGGGCCTTTGTGCTTGTTTGGGATGTAATTCTGTTAATGTTAGTTTCAAAATTGGCACCCAAGGAACTTATTTGACGACTTATTAAACCACAATGCTCCTATCCATGAAACCCGATCTTTAGCAAGGATGTTGGTCCATGTACAGTGATAATATAACCCAAGCTGTCACAAAATGACACAAGTTAATTGAAATGATGGCCATCATAGACTCTGTGCCTAACTTGTGACGGAGCACACTTTGCTGTCATCTAGCTTTACAGTGTCCTGCATAATGCAAGCACCCACTGGTTTCTTCCAGTGCAACACGCAAACCTGCCCACACTTGAGCCTAAAGTGTCTCGTTTAGGTGAGCGCCAAATGCTGTAATGGCGGTTAAGTGTCCACTTCAGTTCTTCCTTTGTTACCAGTGAGGGTGTGCTTGTGCACGGATGCCATACTGTCAGATGACACTGACGGTAAGGCAGTGTCCACGTTAAGTGGCTGCGGCTAGAATTAACATGTGAGCCTATGGACGCCAATGTCAAGCCTCTTCCAGCCACTTCCCATACACTTGTATGTTACTGCTAGCCATAGCTCGAGTCCAAATGCAATTTAAATTTGAATGAAAGAGCTGTGGCAAAAGAGAACAGCTTTTACCTGATCAGGGGGTCTGCGAATGGGAGAAACAGCCAGTCTCCATGGTCATCCATCACGTAGCTTTGCAAGTCTTCCGCAGTTTTGTCAAACGAGATAAACACCACCTCAAACGGCACCCCTCGGGCTGTGAGTTCCTCGTACACCTCCCTGAGCAGTGGGGTAAACTGTCGGCAAGGTGGACACCACGAGGCTGAGAAGTATAGCCCTACCACTCTCCTCTCCAAAGCCTCCTCAGCGGGCACGGCCGGAGTGGTCTTCCTGGCGAGGGTTTTGTCTCTGAACAGCTCGGCCATTTTGACGGATTGGAAAGGTCATCTGCTCAACCACATGCACATGCCTTCAAAGTCGTGAGGTACCACTGTAGGCCTTGTCTAGACGCTCGTCAAGAACCTCAAACTTAGCTCTTGGTTGAGTCTCTTCCTACATCTCTGTGTCTGCCTCAACAAATCCTGGTACTCAGGAAACTGTTAGAATTTAGAAATTAATACTCGGTACCATTTCAGTTTCTTTTGTCTACGTACGATCAGTGGCAAATCCAGCAGGGGAGAGGGGGGCACAACTTGCCCCCTCCGATGGATTTTTGGTTTTGTTTTACAAAAAATAGTTCATAGGTAAGTAGGCAAGAAGTAATTGGGACATGTTTACATATATTTATCACATATTAGCACCAAATTAATGTGCAAACACTAATGAAGTCAGAGATGTACACGTTGGATGCCAGTGAGGCGTGGTCTATGTGTTATTCAATTTTAAGCCTTTTTGGGAAGTTTTAGAAGAGAAATAATGTCCAGCATTTCCTGACAGTTGATTCACATGATATTCAGGCCCTGCACTCTTTACAAATTACATTCTTGTGCTAGGCCTACTAACCGATCATTCCCAACAACACATTTATGAATTAACTAGCAATAATGCCAAACCACTCAGAACCAGACAGAACCCAAGCTCTCATAATAATTTCCCCAATACTGAAGTAACAATATATGGGCTACCATGGTTACCCAAGCTCGCATTCCAGTTGCACTAAGTAGCAGTGAGTGTACCACTAACCAGGTACTAACGACCGTTACAGCCTACTCCAGTGCCGGTGCCGCAAGTAATAGTAACACTAAACACTTCATGCGAGCATGGAGGTAAAAAAGACCTGCATGCTTCACGTCTGCTGTTTCTACTTTGGCATATAGTTATCTACTTTGGCACATAGATTGATTGCCAGTCGCCGATATTAGTTGACTTCAGGTAGGCTATGTGAACAGTCATGCTAAGTAAATTTTACCACATCTGTAAAAAAAACAGAATTTCTTGCACAGCAAAGTCAAGTAGGCCCTACTTATCGCCTTTCGATAGCCTCGCTAGAGTAGATACAGATATACCATGGTGCCCTTCCTCAGCTCCATGGATATATGGCGAACTTCAGTCACTTCATCTGCCGGGTGTTTGGCGCCCTCTATTGAGCAAGAAAATAGGCGAGTTGTCCAAGTAATGGTCAAGACATTTTATAAACTTTTTAAAAAACTTTACTACAATAAATAAACTAAATATTCCTCATCTTTCTTGTGCATCTTTAACAAATCTTCTCAGGAGGTGGCCTTAATCAGGTTCGCAAGATTATTTCTCTTCATTAAACTTTTTTGAAGTTTTGTACTTGCGTCGTGACCTCATTGCATTTCATTCAAAAGCCTCGTCAAAAATTGACTGAGATCAATCTCGTGAAATTCCATGAAAGATGCGACAGTATCTTATCAACTTTATTAAATAGATACCTACGTTAAAACTCTGAGCTAACTACTTGAAGGCAATGAAAATGCCTTTGCCCTTGGCAACCCTTCAAAAGTACATGTGCGCAAAAAGCACGTAAAAGCTTCTAGCGCCCTCTTTTGGTTACGGAAGACAAAATCTGGTGTTTTGATCGTCTGCGTTGGCACTTCGAAAATTTTGTAAGCGGGAAATTATAAATCTCACGAGGCAGTCCTGTTTGTTTGCAAGAAATTCATTTTGCCATAGGCCCAGGCCCTGTTCCCGATAGCCATGTGCAGGCTTTACACATGGAACGAAAATACATGCTTGTCCAAGAAATTCTTCTCAACTGTTCAGGTAACGTGCCTTATTTTTGAGATTTGAACTCAGATTTGTTTTCAACTTCTGAGCTTTGTCGAACATGCTAACATTTTGTAAGCAGGCCCTGTGGGTTACGCCCTCTTGTTTGTTTGTTGAAAATATCTGCAGTCAATCCTTATTCAAACACAAATAGACAAACCACTTACTGGATGACTACTAATACATAATCACTGATTAATGGGTTTCTAAGTTGTTGTGTTTGGTGTCCCTTGTCACAGGCCTAATTGCTACATTTACTGTTACCATGGTTACTGGGGGTCACTAAGCTCTGCTTTTTAGAGACCCCTGTTCACAGTTTTTTGCTGTGAATCTGTGATATTTCTTGCATTGTAATGCTTTGTGGAAAATAAAGTAAGATTGATTGATTGATTTGAGGACGTAAGATCATTCTGCTTTTATTTCGTAACATCTGCATATTAAAGGCTACGTGTTGTTATGAGGCTTAAGGTTGGCTGGACCTACATTCTTTTTTTCCTGGTGTATAAAAGTAGGCAAATTAAACTTCAATTTTAGCCTGACCTACGCCTATGTTGAGGCCTGCATAGGTCCAGTGGACCTGCAAACCAAGTTCAACAAATTCTCTTGGTCAATCCAAGCCTAACTTATGTTATAGAATTAAACCAAATGTTTTGATTGAAGGCATAGCCTAGCCTAGCTGAGACTCCCCGAGTATAGAGTACCAAAGTGAATACGTCACGCGCACAATTAGTGTGTAAAAGGCATTAGCCTTGTCGAGGCCTGCATAGCTTTGAGAGGATGTACCCACAAAACAAGTTCAACGCACCAAACTTGCAATTAAAACAGTATGGCGTGAGGGTCCCAAGTTGTGGAACTCGCTAGATCTATCATTAAAAATTATAACCAATCCATTATTGTTTAACATAAATACAAGATGTGTTTATTGAATAATTATATGGAAACTGAGTAATTCCCACGGGTCACAGGTCACAGGCCATATTCATCTCTTTGTTATTTCTAATTATTGTCTGATGTCAGTACGCATGCTAATGTAACGTCTATGTGAATGTGGTATTTGTATGTGTTGTTATGTAAGTGCGGGTCCCTACTTGACAAGCACTGCTTTTTGGGAACTCCTCTTCACCCTTATGTTGAATCTAAAGTGAACCTGAATCATTGTGTTCTTTTGAATGAGAATAGTTATCAGGCACAGATCCAAAACCGGAGACCGATTTTAGAAAATAGAGACAACAAAAAGTTAACAAAATGGGGAAAAAAACTAGAGTAAATTAAAAACCTACATGTATGTAGATAGCTTCCCTCAGCTTCTTCACTAGGTGTACACCAATACCGTAGTAAACAGCGTATGTCATGGAATGTCTTATCATTGTTTCCACTTGTCCACAAAAATGAGAAAATCCCTGGTCTGACTCCTTCTCCCCTCCCCCCCGGAAAAATCCCTGGATCCGCCTCTGCCTATTATTAATCTGTTTTAGTTTCACACATTTGTGTCAACTCATACTACATGTCTATATCTGTTACTTGTGGAAGAGGCACAAAGCATGAGTTGATGCCGCAAATTTGTGATAAATCTCTTTATCTGAAGTTACTTTTTTGGGCTGTTAGTTATACACTGGCCAATTTACTTCACAGAAAAAAGAAGGATAAATTACCTAATGCATTTCTCGTGAATGCAACAGGATGTATGCATTCCTTTCAATTAAACGCCCATTTTGGACTAAGTGGAAAAAAAAATTGTTTTAGTTGTTTGGGTAGGTGCCTATATGCATAAGAAATCCTGCGCAATCCTGGGATGAATAGCTTTTACTGATTCATATTTTGAGTACTATGCTTCAGTGCTTTACAGCAAAAGTAAAGTACGTCACATGCATGCACATCACAAAAGCCTCAACTTCAATAGGATCCGGGTACCACCACGTACCACGCATACTATACACCAGACTGCACAGTGGCACTATGAAGGGACATAGCCTGTTGATGGCATGTTGGCAGTGTGCCAAATGCACACTGATGATGCAGGCTATACAGGAAACGGCCAGGCTAACATCATGTGATTCCTGTTGTATTTATATTGATGCAGGCACTTTCTCTGTGTACGTGCATGGGCTTCCTTCTCAGTGTCCCCATCACGTGCATTTTTTTCCACTGGTAGTTCAAAGATGTCACGGAAATATACAGTTGTGTAAACTGAAACCAGATTTGTTTTTGGTTCTAAATACATCCTGGGCATGATCACCAAATTATGCAGATGTAATACATCAACAAGCACTCATTCATGTGAATAATTTCTATATTGTACATTTTAAATTTAAGTACATAAAGTAGTCACATATTTGAATTTCATTTACTTACATATCAAGCTCATTTGATCCAATATGACATCAAATCTGAGGATTGTACTAAAACTAGGCCTACATTATGCTGCAAACTTGTAATTTGTGTCAACATTAAACAAGGACATGGATTCATCTCTCCTATTTAAAATGGTTGTAAGCACACAGAAGATAGTATGCAGATTATTACTGTGACCTTTGAACAGGTATGTCCAATGTATGCATTATATCCTCATGAATTTGTGTTTTACAGTATGTAGCATGTTGTAAAATACTGAAGATGTGGAACAACTACACTTCAGCATTCAGTTTTTTGATACTTTCCCAAGACTTGTGCAATGTACTAAATGTACACGTATATGGTGAACATAGGCACGAAGCAGTACACGTACTTGTACATTGTGCATGGCACATGTACTGGCATGCATGCAGCACCACCAATCCCCCATCAGAATGTCACACAGGGTGATGCCACACTAAGCTAATGTACGGTGCTGTAATGTAGGTATGCATGGGAATGGTGTGGGAAAGCCCATGACTCATCTTGTTGACCATTGTGAGCGCTGATTCATCACTGTACAAGTTGGCTCTTGGCGTTTTCCACTCGGTACCTGCCCACCATTGTGCAGACAATTCAAGGCTAGCTGTTCGCTATTGCTGGGATTTATTGTTCGAAGTCATTCCACTGTGTTTGGATACTGACAGAGTATAAGGCTGTGTTTTGAGGCCCTCAAAGGGTCTTACAACAAAAAGCTCCAGCCACACTGAACCAAAAGGCAGTAGACATAATTATTACCTGCATAGAGGACGAACAAACAAGCTAGGTGATTTAGCATGAAACTTCCATTTCAAGAGTTTTAAGTTCTTTTTTGGTAAATCTGAAGAGCGAACTTCATTCATGTGGCAGCGCAATCATATTTTATGATAAGTGTGTAAGATTCCATGCAAATGTATTTGAAGGACTGTGTCACAGTGTGATAAGGGCCGTTTTCCAATACTCATACTTTGTCTGCGTCTGTGGCTTTGTCTACGAAACCAATTCCTGATTGTGGGCCTGTAGCGTTTAAGTTAAATTGAAACTAATGTTTGGCTCTTTTGCATCTTATTTGATGTTTTGTGGCACTACCAGACTTACTATTGCGCTTACAACTTCAAATTCAGGTAGCAAAAAATACAGTTACAGCATAGACGGAGACAAAGTCAAGTATTGGAAAACGGCCCTGGTATGGTTGATAAAACATACCATCGAAACAGTTCACGTCTGGGGCACCCATATATTTACATGTACATAAGGTTTTAAATTGTTTTGGCGTTTGGATGTTTAAGTTCTAGTGAACACGCTACTTTGAATTTACTTCATTTAAGGAATGGTTAGCTTTCAAGATGTCTGTTTGACTCAGTCAAGTTCATTCCTGAACTTAGTCATTCAGCTTCACTTTTGTGTTTGCAGTTTTGAACTGAAAGAAATGGAATCTGTAATCATGCTCAATTTCATATTCTTGCATTTCTTGTTGATTTTGTCTACTTGGTACATGTACTTTCTGAGCAGTCTTTTCATAGAATGGGAAAGGTAAGTGGTATCGTTGTGAAATTGTCAAAGTGAAAGTTATTGTACAGTTGGTCATCTGAGTCTAGTTTCCCACTTGAAATACACCTGTTATGTAATTTATAGTGTAGGTAAACACGTTCGATGATAAAGATTTGTACATTTTAGTTACAATTAATCACTTAGTAAGTCATGCCTTTGATCAAATAAAATTCAGACACTCTCATCAAAAACAGGTGAACAATGCCTATATGTATTGCTAAGATGAGGTGAGTATTTGAATTTGGATAAATTTGCCATTGACAAGCTAAAATTTAACACCATTCAGGTTTGTTGCTTGTGTTGGCTTAGAAACATCTACATTTACAGTTTCAGCCTGTAGTTTCTCTGTCAGTGTCTGATTTTTTTTATCCTAAGAATGAAGAAAAGTGCATTGCTGTTTTTATGGCAACTGCTGAGATCTGTGGGACAACTTTCCCTGATACCTTCCATTTTCTCCATCTGCATGCTTCATCACATTGCTTCCACAGAGGGTGGGAATCCCCACCTCATCTTAAAACATTCTTTATTGATGTAATCTTAGATCAGTAAAATTTTTTCATCCTTCTCCCATTTCCATCCAACCAGCTTCAGAAATTCATCCCAAAATGCATTTAATGTTGTTTTAGCGCAGGAGTTCACTTGAATATCACTCCTTTTTAGCTGAGTCATGGGAAATTCGACATTTTTCCCCCCTGCTTTTCCAAGTCACAATACGTTTTGCCTTCTGCGTTGTTCAACCATTAAATTCTGAAATTGCAACATTCCAATTTCTATTTATAGCATCCAACACTTTACACTGGGACAGTTCCTCCTATCAAGTTTACTTCACGTGAATTCCTTCATGTCATGAGGAGTTGGGGAAAAAAAGACTTCATTAATGGGATACATTTTCAGTGGCAAGTTGGGGGGGGGAAGCCTTGAAGTAGAATTGCATAGAACCAGTGCAGAAGCTTTGGGCAGGGTGAATTTCCTCTGCATAACACTTAGGGAATTCTCAGGAAACAGCGTGCATTAACAGCCAAACAGTGACTCACGCTGCTAGGTTATTGACAACAGGAGCTCGTATATCAACCCAGATTTGGGGAGGAATCATCAGTTGGCATGATCTGGTATGACCCTCCCACCTCATTCCTACTTTTAAAACCCTGTAATGATCCAAGAGCAGGCATGCCTCACGACGTTAAAAGCCTGTGCCATGGCCGACCCGTTTCATCATGTAAAGAATTTGTCCTTACAAGCATTTTAATTCATTCACTGACCTGGGGTGCATAGTTCCAAGTGTTTTCATGGAACCAGCCACCCAAGAATGTGTTCTCATCCAAATGTTTCTCATAGTAATGTAGTATCATCTTGTACCGCAGACATTTTCCATTAGTGCCAACCCACTGTCAAGCAAGATAGTCACCACCACTATTTTCATTCATGTTTCACAGGAAAGAAATTCCTCAATCTTAAAATAATTCACTTGTAGGAAACTGAAAATATTGTTGAGACGCTTTGCCATTTCTGTTGTAAATGGTGACCCAGTCCACTTTTGGGTTGAAGGACTGGAGAAGAACCATGCACACTGGAAATCAAAAGGATCTATCCCTCAACATCTGTCACCTACATCATGTCCATTGTCATCAGGATTCCCAGAGAGTGATAGATCAAACATCAGTTGGGTCTTTCTGTAGAGCAAACATACTAGGAAAATGGCCTTTAGACTGCAGGATTGGTCACATTTAGTGTTCATGGATTTCCATACAAAGCAAGGACTACATTTAGTTAATATATTTTTGTGTTCACCCTACACTATTCAATTGCCCATCAACTGTGATGAGCCCCTGATCTTGCAACTTTTCAAAAAAGCATTTTCTCTAGATACATTAAAAGAAAGCGAAACGGGTAACATTAATACGTTTAAGAAAAACACTGACACATTTCAGTAATTCTTTTATCACAGAGCAGTTTATTGACACAGGTATATCGTATTTTAACAAACCACTGTTCTGGCAAGACAACCCTGAAGAAAAGCGCAGAGCTGACGGTAAGCGTGCACTCTCGTTTGACCAACGAACCACCATATCAACATGAAATGGAGAAATTGGAAATATGTACAACATCAACGTGACAGACTGCCATTCATTCAATCGAGTGCCACATTGTAGCTTACAAATTTGCATCGGTAAATTTTTACAAACCCCAACGGGCTTCTGTCCTGAATTAGTTACATGTACATTCAATTTTTTATGATTTTTTTCCACAAGAAGTCATCAAAAATTTCATCTGCATGCAGTCATAATTCTAACAAGAATTCACCCTATGGTTTTTCTTTTACTCTCCGAAGGTGGCTTCTTGTAATTTTAAGTTCAGATGGGAGTAATTCTGGCAAAAGATGGTGCAGACGATACATGCAAACTATCGCATCATGGCGTGAACTCACGGCCTTCCTCAACCTTGCAAATGCAATACAACAGTTGGTCTGTTGTCCTTGTAAGGGATAACAGTGAACAACTGTCCTTGTACGCGTATATTTTAATTCCACTCAGTTCAGTGACATGACCCCAGCATAACATTAACAAGGCTTCTCCTATGAACTGTGCATTCCGCGCCTGCACAAACAACCTCCAAAAAAGCCACACCGCAAGCCACTTCAATTACCGACTGTAAATCGAAGCGCCAAGCCCGCAAACGCCAACACTCCAGTTGCATTTGAATTAAAAAGCCTGCCCATTTCCACACCGAAATATCCCCCAAATTTGAGAGGCCAGACCTTGCCCAAGGCACGCTGGTAATGATAATATGGTGTTGGGCTGTGGCACATAGCCAGACAAGCGGCGGTTCTAATCATGCAGGATACATACAGCGAAGGCATGCCGTTGGCAGGCACGGTTTTACGGCCTACCATTGACGGCAGATTTGCGGTACTGATTATGCGCGTTCACCGGAGTACGAGGGCCATTATGCATAGCCCAAGGTCGCGCGGTCTTTGTTCGCAACCGCATTCCACTAAACAGATTAAATAGACGGATTCTGAATGCACAGACATGAAAACATTTTTCTTGGACACAGCTATTTTGGAATTTTAAGGGATTTTTTTTAATACGCGATACTAGAAGGCTGTATCATAAATTTTTAACAGCGTTTACAGCAAGAAAAACATTGGCATAAACTTTGAATAACCACTGACTGGTGATATGGATAATTCCGATAAAACCAAACTCCGCTCATAACTTTTCAGGACGGCAAAACATGCCTCGCTTTCTTATATAACATGTCAAGCACTAGATCCAGCACGTGAGTCCCGCTCGAACGTTCAGTACTTTCAATAATATTCAACTTCAAAAGAGAAAGAATTTGACAAAATATTTACAAATATTATGACACTGTCCGTTGATAACTATGCACAAGTCCAATAATTTAAAAAGCGAGTTGCTGGGCGAGCATGACTTGACACCCATTCTTGACGTGTTCCATGACGCTCTGCTTAAGTTGACACACTTGCTCTCTCAGTTTTGTGGCCGTGGTGGACAGCTGGGTGTTCTGGTCCTTGAGTTCTTTGACTTTTTCCTCCAGACGCGAGATGCGCTCCAGCTTTCGTCGTCTGCACTTGCTGGCTGCTACCCGGTTTCTCAGTCGCTTCCGCTCCGCCTTGATCCTCTCCTGTGACTCCATGTTGATGGGGGAAAGGGGAGGGGTGCCGTGCCCATTGAATACCGGGACGATCTGCGACTGTTCGGGTTCCTGCTTGATGTGCGGCAGGTGCGACCAACCATTGTTGGTGATGACTGAAGTGTCCACCGTTGACATGGTTGTGGCGATAGCCGAGGTGCGGCTGGGGTAGCTGACGGTAGCGCCCGGCAGGGCTGTGGTGGTGGGCATGGCGGGATTGTATTCCAATGGAGCAGCAGCAGCGACTGCAGTGGCCGTTGTTACTATGCACGAGTTCTGCTGAGCCGGGGCTTGCTGGATGACTTGCATCAGGGCCACCTTGTTGTCTTCATGGTCAGACCCGCTGCCGTCTTCCCCTTCGCCCTGAACATGGCTCTGAGTTTGGTGCAGACTCTGAAGAGCCTCAACGAATCCCTGTGCAAAGGCCGCCTGCTCCTCTGTAACGTTCTTCGGACAGATGAACTGGGTTGGCGTCGGCGTGGTGCACACCGTGCCCTGCTGGGAGATGATCATTTTCTCGAGTTCTGGAGACGCCAGTTTGAGCATTTGGACGTCTGGCGTGGAAAGCAGGGCCACGGAGGTCCTCTTCTTGGTAGGGCCGCCGTTGACCAGATCCAGCGTCATGGTCTTTTTCTTGTTGAGCCATGGGTTGTGCGTGTCGTCGTAGAACTGCACCGTCTCCATGTTGGTTTTCTGCTTTTTTGCGCTTGACATAAACAGTTCAGTACCGTACAAAATCGACGGCGCTACGCTGTGGCTGAACCAGGCTGAGTCACTGAATGTACAAACAATGTCGGAGGAATCCCCGCTACGTGTGAGCGTGTTATGCTGTTTTGTGATCGTGCCTACACTCTCAAGAAGATCTCTGAAATCGCTTCCGAGCTAAGCGCTGACTCACGTTTTATAGACTGACTAAGGCTTCTAAAAATAGTGTCTCACCGAATGACATAACGGGAACGGCTTTTCATTGGATATCGGTGATGTCATGTGTATTCTAATGAGGGTTCCCTCTACCGTCGCCATAGGAATAACTAAATACTGCAATGTATTGTGGGACGCGAGGAGTGCCCTCGACGTCACCGTTGGCTGGAATGCGGCATGGCCTATACCATTATTTTCCGTGACAGGTAAATCGGATTCCACAGATGATTCTATTTACTCAATTGGAGGAAGCAAGTGCATTTTATACAAATCAAATACAAATTGTAATAATATCATTTGAATTAGGCATGGTTCAGGAAGATATTCAAGAATACTTCGCTTTCCATGCATTCATAGAATCAAATAGTCATGCAGTCCACCCCTATAATCTGAATGAATCATCCGTGACGTAATGATCCGTTCTTGGTAGCCCGGAAGTTCCGCGATTTTCATAACAAAGACTACATGCGGCGACCCTTAACATGCTCCACACGTTGCTTTACCAAATATGGAAACTCGCCGATATCGAAAGTAAATATCTAACACGTTGAACGATTTTGGCGGCAGTGGAAGTGGCAGAGGTGAGGAGATTGGTGGTAGTGTTCAAGTTTGGTTTTGGAGCGATTTATGAGCGGAAGTGCTCAGAAGTATTGAGGCAGGATGACAACATGAATTGGTGTTCCTACCTTATAAACTGATGTATTTGCCTTCCACATTTTCACGAGTCGTGCAGGCCTCCGCAGGTGCAGTTGACGGACGTACAACCATGGAGACAATCCTGCCTCCCTGGTCCAATTAGTCATGGACTTGTACGTCCACAAAGTTTAAAGAGTCTACACGGTCCATGGGCATTTCATACAACCTTGGAGGAAAAAGAACACTCTCTTTGATAAATGATACGTATTGACCATGGAGATTGACATACTTATGGCCGATCGGCGATTGCAATCAGTTGTATTTTATCGGGTCGGTTGAGTCATGGAGTTTTTGAAAAAGGCCCAGTTGATTACTGTATTTTGCTGCACTTCTTAACATTCTATTTTCTCTATGCTAATGTAAATCTTCCAGTTCCACAAAGTAGTTTTAGTGTGTACATGTATTGCACAGCACACATGTTCTCTTTCAGAATTATTCCTTAACATAATTACATGTAACATTGAAATAAACCAAGTTCATTGTTGGTGTTGAATTTTTTTGACCTGTCATTAAATTTTGTGGTGATAGCATGGGAGATTTTATCCCATATGGTGAAAGGAGCATGGCAACGTGTGGGTTCAAAGTCAAATTATGGTCAAATCAGTGGATTGTAGTGTTGCATTCTACATGAATTACACAAAATCTGTTTTTGCAACATGCGCAGTGTCAAACTTCCATCATGTTCATGGTCAGACCAAAGTAATTCAGCAGTGAAAGTCGTTGATTCGCATCATGGAATCTGTTGATCTGCACATTTAGTTTTGGAATGATGCCATCCATTCATTTGGCATTGTGGTTCACAGAGTGGTTGGTTCCGTCTGTCAATAGTTGAGAGGGGAAAAAAAAACACAATGTCAAAAACCAAACTAAACGGAACTGAAGTCCAAAGTGCAGTTTCAACAATGGAAAGATTCGTCAACAGGTTGTGTTTGTTTACATTATGACAGTCTCTGATTGGATGGATATTACTTCAGTGGGCAAAATTAGTTTTGTAGTAATCTGCCGCAGTCAATGGAATGAATGGGGGAACTTATCCGTTTATTTTGGCCACAGATCAAAATCCATAACTTTTTCATTTTGTATGGACTTGGGTAGTGATAGAAACACTAGTTAAATATTTCCTGCTGCCTCATAATAGTTTGGCAAAGTGGTTGATCACATGGAGGAAGGAACCTTCCTCCATGATCACATGCTATATCTTGTGATAGGGACCAGCAAACTTGTTTGTTTATTGTGGTGTTACCAGTTTGGTAAGATTATGTCATTGGTTAATGCTTCTGATTACTCTCCATATTCATATTCTATACTTTTTATATGCTAGAATAAAAAGAGGGAAAATTCATCATTTTCATAGTCTGTCAATATATTGTGCAGTTTGTGACAAGTGAGAGTACATGTATATAAAAACCAATCTTTCTTGTCAAACTATTTTCTCTGAAATTTGCAAAACAAAACTATGACACTTTGTCAGTGGAACTTTAAAAAAATGGTATGTGATACTTCTTTGGCAAACAGCACTACAGATTTGTTTCCAGTGCTGACTTAGGTTCCAATTTCTGCTGTTATTTTGTTCTTTAATTTCCCACCCCAAGTTTAGCTCTCTGTTCACCCATTTCTGAACTGCCATTGGAGATTATAATGCAGGCAGCCTGAGAATCTGACGTTAAAATTAAAACTGGAAATTGGTGTCTGGATTAATCTATGAAAGGTTTGGAGCTGTTTGCAGCCAAAGTGGATCAACCGCAGGGAGAACAGTTGAAATGACTGGCATACCAGGGTATTGTGAAATTACCTGGAAAACCTCTCTGGCGGTCTTTTGTGAACTGGACAAACAAGGCTGTCCTGTGGTTGGTCTGTATCAAAAAGTGGATAATCAGCAAGCCTACTGGAAAGGAATGATCCCATTTGCAGTTAGGGTCCTTATAAAAAACATGCTGACGGTTTTGCTGAAATGATGGTCATCTTAATTGGACTTGTGTAATTTGTTTGTGAGGAGTTTGATAATAATTACTCCTTTATAATCTGAGCCTTATACTACTAGGAGTTCTACATACAGGTTGAAGTAGCCACTAGTCACATGCACATACTAGATCAAGTGAAAATATAAATGTCAATTTCCGTGTGACTCCTGTGTCAAAAAGAGAGGGACCTTTAGTAATTAGCAGTGGTGTCCCAAGAGCCATCATATCCCAGACTGCTTTGGAGAGGAATTTGCAAAAATGCATTGGAATGAGTGATGGACCATAAAGTATGCAAACAGTAGCCTTCTTTTTGGGTTCCATTCACTTGCTTATGCATCCTACATTTGTACTGAATAGCACCAGATCTGTCCATACATTTTACAAACAGATGTGCTCACCAGTTAAATCTTGTAAGAGATTTCTTGACTGTAATTAATGGGTTTGGATTTGTGATGTCCATTTATTTGTTCCTGGAGCATCGGGGTACTGATAGCATACTGATTACTACTGATCCTAGCTGCCTCTAGCCTCTGGGAATTGATGAGACCGCATCCAACCTGCCCGATGCCGGATAAAGGCCCCTGGAGTACAACTTTGGTTCCATTTATATGCGCATAATGCTTGGAAATACGATATTCTTCCCGTAATCCGACACATTGAATTGGAATGGCGCTCACGTGGCGTAGCACAGTTAACATTGCGACTATTCAATAATGCTGGAGCTATCATTTCATGTGTTGAATCAACTGGTCATTTCCTTGTTTCAAAAGATACAGGTGTAGTTTTCTTCAACCCAACCTTTTGTTGCCCATTTTGGCCAAAGCTTTTCTCTTTTTGGTATTGTATACACAAACATTTAATGTAGATTATTTAAATACAAAAACCAAATTTAACTTGCATGGCTAATTTGCATAGCCTTTTCAAAAATGGTTTTGTGTAATTGTTTTTAGAGATGTCAGGAAATTTCCTTACTCTTTTACTTTCAAAAGAAAATTAATTTTTGCTTTGTAAAATGAAGACATTTATTTATTGACAGGCTCGGTTGTTTGCATAAAGGCGCCTGTTTTTCTTAACCAGTCCATGAGTATTGATTTTTAGGAAATCTGTACATAAACAATTCACATTCCTTCCTTTGTGGTTGTATTTAATTTTAATTTCCTACTTATGATACATGCAGACCACCTGCTATGTAAACCATTTATCAAGTTAGTTCTGTCTGTGATTCAGCTGAATATCTTTCTTGCAGTGCCATGCAGTGAAATTCCTCAACCTTGTGATCATGTTGAGGAAATTTATGCAAAAATTACAATCAAACTGTGTTTATCTTAAAAGCCTAAAAACCTACAGGCTGTAGGCCTTTATTGCAAGCAGGCCACTTTTCATGTGCGTATCGAAAACACTACAGTATTTGTAGATAGGGCTCAGTGTTTTTTTTGAACGGAAAATTCCATGATTAATTGCCGCACTCTTCAGTTGGCTGAGTTGATGAATATTGATCAGGCTGTCTCCTGTTCCCCCTGATCCTTAATTTGCCTCTGGCTTGTCTTGTCTGGATGGATTCATGAATGAAGCCCGGGCCTGTCGTGTACGTGTGTACATATGTACATGTGGATGTGTGTGTGGTGGTTGGCCCATGTGTAAATTCCATTTACTACTCAAGTGGAAGGCCGCGGTCAAAATAAATGTCTGAATTCAAGGTAGTGTAAATACCGGGTTAGTGCGGTAGAGATTGATTTGGTCTGGGAGGAAAGACGTAGAGTCCAGGTTTCAGTCAGATTGCGTACTTGACATGCTTGTGGTATTCTGGCCTCGTACTAATGGATCTATACTTTATGTAGTCTATACTCATCTGTATTGGGCATGGCAGTGTAAAGGACCAAAAATTTGGTTGGGGCCATTGAAAGATTACAGTGTTTGCCTGATGGTTTGACATTCTTGCCATTATGTCAAACACTCTAAATTGTGTTCTACTGGCATTTTTTTACATGTATGATGCAGCATGCAGGGTGGCTGTAACAGGTGAAACAACAGGTGGTATTTAAATTTGTCTCCATTTCCAGTTGGAATTTCCTTCCTTTTGGTGCCTTTTGTTAAGGATAAAAAATGACTTAAACGAAACTGGGTCCATTGATGTCCTGTTGACCTGCATGTTGATTCCCTGTGATAAGAAACAGGTTCTTGCTTGGGTATTCCAAAAATGGCAACAATTGCTAACCATCTGAAGCACTGCTGACATGACTGGTTTAACCTTTCATCTTGTGGTTAACATTTTTTGGGGGGGGGAGCATGGTGCTTAGTCCCCACCCCTCCGGTGAGAAATTCTGAAGCCTTTTCAAAGTGCTGTAAGCTGGTAATTAGAGATGTGCCTGATCCATGGCGTATGACTGAGCCTGTTAACTTTTTTGGAGGGAAGTGAATACATGTACGTCTTAAACAGTATGTCATTTGCCATGTTTCAAGACAGACTTGCAGCAATACTACTGTGTACACTTGCCTATGCTCGGTACATTATGTACATGTACATGTACATATTCATTGCTGCTAGTAGAGATCTGAGGCTCCATATGCAGATGCAAGATTTGGATGTAGCTTTAGTACATGACACAAGACGGCGCACACTTGTTAACGGGCCACTTGTTATCGACTACACATGAGTTGAAATAAGAGACAGACAGAGCAGAAACGTTACAGGGACAAATTTTTGTCCCTTCAATACTGACTTTTCTAAAAGAAACTGTTCCCCTAACACTGATAAGGCCTACTCAGCGTGTTTCATAGTGGATAACTTTTAGTGTAGACTGTGAAGAGTTACAAATGATACATAATTTACATCTGTAAAATCATCTTATGAGTTCAGATAATGTGTCGCTACCCGCAGATCAAAGACATAAATTTTTTTTTTTTTACTATCTGTAATGCACTGTTTGACATTCAACCCGACTGCCAAACAACACCATAACAGAAACCAGTGAACTGATCACAGACTGTATTTGGCATGGTGAAAAAAGGTCCCAAGCAATAAAAGGCGATGTCAAAATGTGGTTTACACAATGTCAAGCCTGATTTGTTCTGGTTGAGATAACGAGCAGTGATCTTGGAATATCAACAGGGGTGGGCATTGTCTGCCACAAAGTCAGGCACAGTGGCCACAGTGGTGCCAGCTTACTCAGGTGTGTGAGTGGATCAAAGGTGCACAGGTTTTTGCCTGAAAAAGAACAGGCCTTTCTTTGTTAAGGGTTCTTTCTTCCTCATTTTTTTTTTAAACTGAAGTGGGAAAAGCACTCCAAATTTCCTTCAGAATTGGATTCTCCTGTGGGTTGGATTGTAACTAGGTTTGTGTAGTCAAGCCATGGAGAGGTGTTTATTTTTAAAGAACACTTATAATTTGAAATGATATACATGTACATGCGCATGTATAAGGTTAAATTTCGTAAACTGTACATAAAGCAAACTTTTGTCCCACTTTCTCTAAACTGTTAGGTTAAAGTCACACTGGGCCAATAATTGTGTTTCTATTGATGATAATGCCAGGAATACCAGCCCTCCAAGTCCGATTTAGTATTTCAAAAACACAAACCTGTTGAACTGGAAGTCATTGGCTGAGAGGTTGCCACAGAAAAATGTAATTTGAAAGCTGAATAGCCATGCATGAAATTGCTGACGATGGCAGGCCAGGCAACAGATAGAAGAATATGTCTGAGATGCACCAGATATAGGCTTCTGTGATATTTTGGCTCATATTGACTTGGAGAAGATTTGTTGGCCAAAATCGAGGCATTTTCCATGGGACATTGAAGAGGGACAATGGAGATCGAGTTTAAACAATAACCATTGTTAACAACTGATTAAATTTGTCCTGGTAACCTGTGCACAAAACATTTTCCTGGGTACCGGGCAAAACCTGACCTGTGGCTGAAAAACAATGGCTGCCAGGACTTGCCCCGAATGTTTTCCAGGTCAAAGATGACTTCAGGTTTAAGGATTTCTCCCCTGACAGGATTTCAGTCGGTGGCTGACACACCCCTGCCTGCAGTAGTTTCTGGAGGGGGATACAGGTCATTACACTTTCACTCCCAACTGAGTCCCACTTACATTGATTTCCCTTTGTGGCTTTTTGCCAAGGAATGTCTCGCTTTCAGGGCACCTCTGCTTGGGATTGGGCCAGATGTCATTTTCTTGCTTGCATTACATGCATATCAGACTCTAGTCAGCCTTGGTAACTGAGGGTGACGTAAAGTATTGTGAGACTTTGCTTCATGCCTCATTGAGACAATTTTGGTATCACTGCGTGTATTATAGCAACAACAGAAAGTTACAGCCTTTGCCTTAATTAACATTCACCCACTCACTACAACCAGTATGTTCTTTATAGTGTTCTGTGGAACCTCGCTCCCCTCGGAATTTTCATTCCTCACGTTCACGCCCAACTCATTTCGAGCCTTTCATTCAGGTTTGCTTGTTAACCTAAATTGTCAACTCTGTGGAGAGTAGCAGTGGGGTCCAACCACAACACTTACATGTCAATGAATTTAGTGCTCATATCATGTTGTGATTGGCTTGTTGTTACTGCTTTGATCTGTTGGCTGAGAGGGAGATGCATGTGCAACAAACGTGTTTTATTTAACAAATTGTTAACTTGACTCAAAGTAGCAAAAAGCCTGTAGAATGCATGTATGTTCCATGCGAGTCTAAAGGTGGTGGTTATTGAGCCTCATCTTTTCTGTGACCTAAATTTGAGAAAATTACGTTATTTACAAATTAGCTAACAGTACTAATGACACGTTACTTACAAATTAATCACCAGTAGTGGTGATTCACAATACAGTGTACCGGCCACCAAGAGGTCATTGCCTCGGAGATGCTTTTTTCGCAGTGCATTGTGGGAAAATGGTTGACAAAGTTCCATCCATCAGCTGGGCTGTGCACCAGGAACTTGAACTGTGCCCAGTGTTTGTTTTGTCTGAGATGAAGATTTGAAAGGGTGTTTTGAGTATTTTGTTGTTAATTAATTGAGGTGATGGGTTTTGAGGAGGTGAATGCCCCTATCAATCAAAACATTTCTTCAACTTGCCCATTAACATTCGCTCTGATGCAAATTGCAGCGAGTCGGCTATGTTTTTATCCACCATGAACTTGAGAAATATGTTGTGAGTTACCCGTATTTCTTGCAAAGATCTAAATGGTTAAACCCAAGGTTAATGCTTATTTCTCATCTTATCCACAGCAAACAAGGTACTAGGAGTTGGAACATTTGCATAAACCTCAACAACCTCAACGCTGGATACTGCAGAGCATGGTATGGCAAAAATCTATTAACATTATGCACTAGGACTGACATTATTCAAAGCTTAACCATGAAATAACTTCTGGTCTTTTGAAAGTCCAGAGTCCAGAAGGAAAAGGAAAATTCCATACACCTTACAATTTAAAAGTGTATGTAATGTTATCTTCTCCAATTCTTAGTAAATGGAATGAAGTCCCATTTATTCTCTCTTTCTGTCTCCAATACCTGTCTGTCAAAGCTCATGCGAGTAGGTCCACATGGGTACATAACATTACCATAGATCATTTTGTAGCTAAATTTACTCACCAGTACGTGTATTGTAATCTAAATCAAAAATGCTCTTGGGATTGCGAGTCTCATGCCGGTATGTATAAGCCTATGTAAGAACCTTTTCTTTAATTTTCCCCCCCATTTTGTGCCAAACCTCGTGGGACAACATACCGAATCCAGTGATATATGTTTGTTTCATTACAAAGGGAAGTTGTTCACTCCAGACTGTGAAAATCTCTCTACACGTATGATTAAAGAATTTCTAAGACTGAGTTTTCGGTTTGTTTCAGTTTGAATACGGTATGGTGCACCTGTGAAGTGGTTTCCAGTTGAAGTTACACAGTGTGAATATAGGTAAGTGCACGGATCAAGGAATTGCTGTTGTAGATGGGGCAGTAGCGAGAGCTTGAGAGTATTATCATTATGTTGTATGTTGATGGATAAAGCCAACAGACAGGGCTCTGTTCAGACATGTTTTAGCTTGAGGGTTTGTCATTCTACCAGTGTACACCAAAAAGAAAAAAAAAAATTGCTCAGCCGAAACCAAACACAGGAAATCCAGATATCCTGTGTTCAGCCCTCAACTGGTGTGAGCTGCAGGTCAGGAACACTTTTATCATTCCATTGACCTTGTAATCTGATCAGTAATTCTTGTAAAAACATTTTTTATTACTTTTTTTCTTATAGTGTTTTTTTCTGGTCAAAACTATCTTTGCTGATGATGGTGATGATGAAAATCAAACCCTTGCCATTTCATTGGAGGGAGTTACCACTGAGGTACTTTCAATATGGTGTTATAAAGCATCAATCATGGTGTTACAAAGCACCAAGTAGAAATCAAAATAACAACAAAAATTGCAATACATACTAAAAACAAGATGTACAGAACTTTTGCAGATTAAGGTTATAATTCAAGATTATGCTTATTGAACGAGAATATGCTTTCTTGTGCTGGTAGTTCAAGTGAGTGAAACCTGTTTTTAATTTTTCCGATCATTCCGATGTCAAACGTTTCCAGATTGGGTTGTTTGTATCCTTAGCTTCACCATATTGGTGGCTGTTAACCCCTGCTTTTTACACTCTCCTCTAGGCTATTGGCCCATCATATCCCCCTCCACCAACAGGCAGTGACCTCCCTTGAATAGCTACTCACAGGGGACATCAGCGGCCCCCCTAATTTGTCCCGTCAGGGCCAACAACCCCTCGCATACTCCCCTTTGTCCAAGCTAATGGGGGGCTGCTCATGCTCTAACACGGGCCCGGCAAATTAAACCTGAACGCTTCGTTTGACAAAAGTTGATCTTGGTACTGCAACAGCAAACAAAACATGTACGTTGCTAATTTGGCGTTGGTCTCAGAGGGGAATTCAGCTAGGGTTTTTAATGTCTCTGTTTTCAGAACTTAACGAAGTCTGATTAGGAAGGGTATGCAGCAAGACGCCGGACATTTATGAAAACTTCCCTCAGGAAAGAAGGGGGGGGGATGGAAACTAAAAGACTGGCCAAAACCCCCGAATAGTAAAGTAACAAGTCGCAGACATCATAAGTTTTAGATTTGCTTCAAAAAGACAAGATTTCTAAAAGAAATTTGAATGTTCGTACTTTGTGGTTAACATTGTGAAGGGCAAAACGTCCAATGACTTTACCAAATCTTTCCCACTCCTTCCAAAAAATGTGCCCAATTAATTTTGGGTGACTGTTTTTGTTTGGCCTCTCACCTCCTTAAATTTAATGGAAATGATTCCTTTCAGGGGTATGCTTTTGAATTCTCCTGTCTGTTTACAGATGATGTCACAACTCCTTGCACGTAATGTGTTGGATGGAAGTTGTTACATGTATATTGTGTGTGCTCATGCGACATCACTCCTGTGTGGTACTGATGTTGCTGTCATAACAAAGAGGCAAAATTGGTGTGGTGAGGCATGGGAGATGTCATACTTGTGTCACTAAAAACTGGCAATGTTTTCCATCAACCCCAACCATTCCAGATCCTTTGGAATCTACCAGAAGGTTTCAGGAGATTTTCTAAGATTGAGGAAGGTTGAGCCCAGCCTTTATGCCTCTTGAAAGATTTGAAAACAAGGAGCGAGTTTCCTCTGCACATGAGAGGATTTGGTAGGATTCAGTAAGGCTTAATTCAGAAATGTCTCGGGAGTTAGGGTCATTGAACCAAGCAACATAGACCTAGAGCTACCCTCTCTCCTCCTAGCCCTGGCCCATGTGCTAACCTGGTTGGAGAGATAAGGTTTGGGAATTGGCATCAGCATGTGTATGGTGACAGCAGGTTGGACTTATCTGAAGTTGAGTTAGAAGAGAATCCACCTGCACTTTATCGAGTGGGCGTGGATTCCTTGTGGACTCTGAGGAGTGGACCTTGGCTTGGTCAGGACCCACGAGGAGTTGACGTAAACTTTGTGTGGACTTAAAGAATTGGTTCAGTGTGGAGTGTCAGAATTTGAAGAAACTTAGCCAACTTCAGGGAGCATTTAAACGTTGGTTAATGGTGGAGCTTTGAGAGGACAGTCAGTAAATTTAGGGTTTCATCATGTAGACGTGAGCACTCTTCTGTTCCAGTAGATGTCCAACCCTAGCCAACTTATACCGATTTTCGATCAGTTTTTATAAGCCTTGAGCCTCTCCAGGGAACGTTAAAAATCAGCACCAAGCTTGGCTGCTATGCAGTCATGTACGTATATGTTAGTTGTCTCTTGGTCACCAGCAATCAGTCTTGTCAGGGAACATGCTCATATGTCATATGTCAACTCCGTCAGGGTGGTTTCCATATTTACTGTCTTGTCTGAAACTTAATTGCAGTAACCCCTTCTAGGCTTCATTTCTCATCTGTTTGTTCTCACTTTTGAACCAAATCCTCACAAAGCTAAAGCTTGCCTGAGTTGTCTTAGGTTGCATTTTCCCTCTCATGTTCATCAGTTTTCGTGCTATGGTGAAGGATTGTATGTATTTACCTGGTTCAGTTTAATGTGTAGCGTGTACATACATGTAAAAGCGGTGCTGCTCTTTTGTATTTTTTTTGCTATCATCTTATTGATTTCTCATTCTCTTGGAGCATGTAGCAGGGGCTTTACATTGTCACTTGTACTTACCAAAGGCCTTGTCATTTCGTACCGAGGGAAATTAGCTAAAACTGCTGGAAAGTGGCATAATTGGGGAATTTCCTGTGTGGTTGAGCGCTGCACCGAAAGAGGGGCGTTTGCTCTCACGTCTCTCCCCCCCTCGCTTGGGAACAATATTTGCCAGCTCGGCCGGCAGAAGACCGCGCTCCCATATCCCATCATTTACACGGGGAAATCTTGGGGATAGGAAGTCAAATTTGCCTCAATTATCTACTGGCGCATCTCAGGAAGACTCGGGAATTGGTGGAGTGAAAGACAATAATTAGTTACATACATGTACTGGGGTACAGCTTCTGTTCTCCCATCACCTAACTACAAAAACAGCTCCAAACCTTGAAGACATTCGACAAGGTTTCCTCTTTTGCCCGCCAGTTTTCTCTGTATTCTCTGAACTCAGCCAAACACATCCATAAATTAATATCTGGGGAAGATGCCTGACTCCAAAGCACTGAATTGTTGAAACCTGGGCGTTGTTGTTGACACCCCGAGACCTGTAAAAAGTGGGTCAGAAACCGTTTCCAAAAGGTTAGAGTAAGAATCAAGCTTGAATTTCATGGTCTTCAGTGCTACATGTACAACCATTAATCACCATTGCTCTTCTTACCTGAAAACTTACCGACTTTTACAGTTCATTTTCCTTTCCACTGTCCAAACATCCAAATATATGTCTTTTTAAAGAAGGCTTACAGAAAGTTTTTGAAAACCTAAGCTTAGAGTAAATTTAATGTGCTGAGATAAGCAAACTCTACATTGCCGTGAAATACATTAGATAATGCTAATTACTGCCAAAGTGGGGCAGCATCTTAATGACAGCCTGGCACTGCACATTGACCAAGCTGGGGTCCTTGGGGTCCAACCTGCCCTCCCACGGGGGTAGGGCTTAAAGTTGGTGGAAGTCGATGGATTAGAAAAATCCTGGGAACTACCCCTGTGGGAATAGACTGCAATGAGGCGTAGATTGGGGAAATGAAATCCCCACTTTCCGTCTTGCCTCAAGTTGGATCCTGATAAGCTGGGCAATGGGCACCTTCATTTAGACTCCCGTTATTGACTCCATCAATGCTTGCCCTCCCCAAGCCTGATCTTAATGAACTCGCCCCTTATTTACCTTCTATCAGGACGCTGTAGGACAGAAATAAATCAAAGTACCAAAATCCCCTTCTCTAATGGTTGTCTGTGTGAATCATAGCTTCAACACTTCATTGCCAAATGTTTGTCTCAATTAAATAACAATGGATAATAGCAGTAGGCCCCTTTCTTTTAACCATACTTTTCCTGAAGCCATGCACAGTGTGCATTTTTTTTCTAAATTCAAAATTAAAAATATTGTTTATATATAACACATTCATTTTGATTCATAAAAGCGTCATGTCAGATTCGAGCCAGTTGAGCTCGTCAAGCCAGAGTTTCTCTCCATTTTCTTTGGTATGAAACCAGAATATTTCTGTTTCTCCCCGTCCCCGATGGGATGCCAGTCCATTGCAGAATGCTCCCCAGCAAATGTCCAGAACCCATTCTTACCTCAGAGGGGAGAGAGGCAAGAAGGGGTAGAGTGGCTTGCTCAAGGACATAACCTATGGACTGCAGGTGGATTCAAGTCCTGTGGTCTGGAGTCACAAAGTCACAAACCTTCACCAGTGGGCCACACTGCTGCAGTCTAATAACTAATAAAATTTGGAATGTTAGCCAAGCAGAAGAGTATTTCCAGCTACCTGAATGTTTGTTGCATTTCTGAGCTGTAATAAATGGTGGTGCAAATTTTGCTCTTACTATCTAAACGGAGTTCTTTGATTGTCCAAAACAATAAGAATCCCAGCAATTGGTTCTGTTTACTCCACAGCCTGATTTCTTCTCTGCAGCTGCTACAATGACATCAAGCATCTCCAGTCACCACTCCTTCTCCTCTACCACCTCAACCAGTGACAGCGTATGTCACCATCAACAACCTTCGTCAACCGTCCCAGTCCCGCTGTCCACCAGCCGTGATCTTGAGGCACCTTCCGATGATGACTCCTTCAATGAGCAGAGCATCGGTAGGGTGTTTGGCGGCCCAGCGGGTGATCAACCTGGCTTGCAGCTTGATGGAGATGAGGAGAATCAGGTATATTCATCTCAAACCTAGACCCAAAAATTCCAAGTTGTCTCTCATTGGGGTGCATTCGTTTGATTGCTGTGTGCGAGTTCATACATATTTTATCCTCTACAAGTAATTTGGAATGAGAGGTGGTGTAATTAATATTAATTATAGAAATATTTCTGGAGAACAAGCTTGTGGACTTGAGCTCTCAACCTAACAGTGTATGCATCCTGCTGCTGTTGAAAACAAGTAGAGTAGTACAACTTATTGTAATGTGTCTTTCGATAAATACAAGTTTGAGAAAATGAGTATTTGATACTCAGTTATGAGTGAACATTGAAAAGGAATGTCATACTTCAAAGAAGGGACCTTTTGTTGTTTTCTAAGGCAGTGCATTTGCTTGGAGATTGTGGGCACATGGTAATGGCTTCTTCAGCGGTAAATGTGAAATGCACAATATTTAAGGCTGTGCAAAGCGTGTTTGTAAATTTGATGCCTCTCAATAACAGCTTATTGCTGGTCACACAGCTCATAGTAGCCCGCCAACAAGTCCACTATCCACACGATATGGCCTCCAGACATGTTACAGAGTTGCTCAGGGCTAATGAAGGTCAAGGTCACTGAATCAGGTCATTGCATGGAACAGAGATCTTGACCTGTCTGATCCCACTAGGTCATTGCGTTCAGTTAAGCAAAGGCATGCTCCTCCGTTGATGCAATGAGTCAAAGCTCATGTCACTGTTAATATATTTATCTCTGTCATGGCCAGGCCATTCACCCACTGACCCACTGAAGAGCCAGCTCGGAAATTTGGGGGGAAAAAACGAAAACCTATATGATTCATACGTACATGTGTTTTTTACAAAAGCTCCGCTTGCACTTGTTTTATGAATCTGACCTTGATCAGAGACAGTGCGTAATGGGCAGCGCACAGTGAGGAAAGATTTATGGAAACAGCTTGTAATGTCTCAAGGAATATCAGTGCTCTGATGGCAACCAGAGGCTTTAAAAATGCATTTTTCATTTTTTTTTATTTACTGTTCCTTGCAGTCCTGAGCAATTGAAGTTGTATGCATGGAATGAAACTTGTCTGTGTCATTCGCACGTGCAAAACCAGAGTTCATGGCGGATAGTTTTCACTATTCTTGTGCAGAGCCTGTACTGGCATTCTCTAGATGTGCTGAACCTGAAACTTACATGCAGCTGCCTCTGACATTTCGGCATTATTCCAGTGGATAAATGCAATACTCGGGCCGTGTTGGCTATACCGTGCTTGATGCTTGATCAGCTTTGGGGTGTAGGTAGGATGGACATGAGAAACAGCTTCTTTGCGAGAATTTGAAGGTGGAAGGCCTACATGGAGTGATAAGAACATCTTAAAAGGGATTGGGAAGGGTACAGCGGATGGCCAGAATGAAGACATGATTGCTATCAGCAGTGAGCCTGTCCCTGTATCCTGCCCTCGGCACATCACAGGCACATCCTCAAGATGCTATCTTCCATCTCCCAAGGGGAGAATGAAAAACATATCATGCGGGATGCCCCACGCTGTAGCCCCAACTGACCTTCCACGCCATCTTCCTCCCACTTCTCCCCAAATCCCCCGAGATATGCATTTTTGACTATTTCAGACACATTTCGGCATTTCAAATACAGGAAGGAAATGGAGCTAGAGCGATAGAGGGGAACCAGAGCGCCTCTGTGCCTCCATAAGCTTGTGTGCTCTGACTAACCACAAGTATCTCTTAAATCCACTTTGTCAGATCAATTGGTCTGTTTTCTGTAAGTGAGCCTGCCCCACAGGAAGCTGTATAAAGTGTTTCCTGTATCATCAGTGTTTAAACGTGGACAGACTTCAATGTGATGTTTCTCATTAGCTTTTACAAAGATAACGTGTAGTTCTAATTTTCTTTATATGTGATGTGCGATAAATCACGCTAAAATCGTGGCATTTCTTGGTCTAATACCGCCCGAATGGTACCTATACGAGTGACCCAATGGCCAACACAGAATTGTGGTCAGAATAAAGATGCCAATGTCAACTTTATTAAGAAGAAATGTATCTGTATGTTTGCTCAGATGCTGAAATTCAGACTTTCATTTTTTCATCTGGGCAGTTTCACTGCAGCAGTTGTGAACAGGAAAAGTGGGTGTGATTATTGTTTAGTTGTAGGTCTCAATATCTGATTACCAGGGACCAGAACTTTTGCTGGAATTCTGAAACATAATCTGCTGAAAAAAAAGTTGTAGAAAGAAGAAATCCTCTACTGTACATGAAATCTTTTCTAGAAGAAGTGCATTTTCATTAAAAAAAATAAGGAAATTAAATACTTCATTATTTTTGAAGTGAATTGATACCTGAAAGACCAAAAAGTACTGTGCCAGGGGCTTGTTTACAAACTTGAAAATGTGTAATTGCTTACTGCACCAGTTTGAGGGCATCACATTGCATCACAACCAAACACCTGCCTCATCAATTGGTGCCATTGATAAAGATTCCCCTGTTGATTGTAGCACCACACTCTCAGACTTTCATAGTTTGCAACAGGCAGAGTTGGAGTGAAAGAACACTTTGAGCCTCAATGCTACCTTTCTCTGAGTTTTACAAATTAAATTGGACCAAAGTTGGTACCAAATATGCCTTCTGTTCTTTTGGAGTAAAGTTTGAAGTTGAGAAAGATACCAGACTTTTGTTTAAAAAATGTACTTGAGAATGAACAGATATCTAAAATACGATTCGAAACCAGTACTCTAATCAGGTGGTTGTGAAAGTGGGAAAAGTGACCTTTTTTGCCTTGGAATTAAAAGATGTCATGGTTATTTACCACTGTTATCTGCACTTTGCGCTTCTCTGTAACCTTCATGATTTGGCTCATGGAGAACACCTTGTGTAGATTTAGTTCACACATTAGATTCCTGTATCAAGTGGTTTCCAAAAGTACATTGGCAACTGTCCTTCAACTTTTCTGTAGTTTGTGCGGGGAAGAGACGTCAGTCAATCAAATGATCAATCAATCAATCTCACTTTATTTCCACATAAGACAAAATATTGGATATATACCGGAAGTGCATAGCAGAAAGAAAATATATAAATAATACGTATATGTGGAGGGATCCCACAAGAAGCAAAGCTTGTCAAGAATAACCCTTTCAACAGATTTCCAGACGTCAATGAAGGGGGAAAAAGGTGTCAGTTTTCTTCAGAGGATTTGTATAAAGTTAGGAGGTTTGTTTGGGTAATGCAGGCCATTAAAACAGGATTTTAGTTCATTCCATTATTTTTGTAGGTAATATTGAATTGAAATCAGAATGCCTTGTATTTCACCCAAACTGATGAATTTTTTATCTGTTTTATGTACGTTGTATTCAGTTGAACAACTTTGAGGGAATTATAAACTGAGTTGAGATGTTTTCATACAGTTAATGTGTGTGCTGTTTGACTACTGAGAATTTCCAGCTCCAAATCCCAGATACCCTTAGCATTATTTCCCATCCCTTCTCTTGGTGGAACCAGACTCACCAGTACTTAGTGCTTCAGGTCGTCAAGTTTTCATGTCTGAGTAGAGGGGTCCAATGGGGCACTGCCTCCCGGAGCCTCGATACAAGAACTCCACCCAAGAACCCCCTAAAGGCAGTCTAACTCAGCTAACAGAACCCTCGGCCGGCAGACCAGGCTCCTCAAAAGGTAGCTGGTTGTTTACCCAGCTGCCAGAGTTTTTTCTTCTTAGACATGTTTCCTGGGGCTTGTCGGATCTTTCTCCATCTGCTCCTGCTGGTTACATGGCACAGCCACCATGATAAAAAGAGAACAGTCTCTTCAAAAAAAAAACCACCGGGGGCTTGTTGCAAAATTAAATTTAATATGGGCCAAGTACAGTAGGCTATATATCCAAGCACAAGAGGGTTATGTGTGTAAATCTTTGTTGTTCACATCAGACTGAAAACACCTGAGTGCCATCTAAAGTCATTTTTTAAAATCTTTATAAAGCAGAGGCTTATTCTCTTGGACGTTATGCTCCATCACTTTCAAAGTTCATCTTCCCCAGCAGTCTTCTTTAACAGAAGTAGGAGGAGGGGAACCAGAGCAGAGATTTGTTAAACAAACAAATAAAAACAGGTGTCTTTGTAATACCCGGAGAGGAAGCCCCGACGAATTGGGATGGTATTGGAGGTGACACGTAACAGCTGTAGGAATCAGACTCCCGGCCAGGCCAAACAAGCTCTTCCTGTCTCTACACTCGCAGGGGCCGACCAACGCAGCTGGCGATCCGGTTACCAGGGCACTGGTTCCAGCAATTATTCACACATGGCATTGAGAGAGGATTTGTATGAGTGGAGGGGACGAGCTGTTGATGTTCTGGCCGGCAGAATTTCTTTTTTGAAATTGTTTGTGTCATTTATGAAGTAGGTTTTCAGGGTATGGCTATATATACATGCATTCCAGGTTTCCTGCCCGCATCAGCATGGACTCTTATTGGACATGTGCTCAGATTGACTTTATATTGATAAGTATTTGTTGGACTGTGTATGCCCTAGGCATTTAGGGAGTGAAAATGGGCCAGTCTTAGAAATGAATCGCTGACTATGGTCAAACCATAGTGGTCACAAAGAAATTCCTAGTATCCCTTTGGTCTTGACTCAGTGGTGTATCTATACTCTGTGGCCAGGTCAGCATTACTGGTGATCATCTGAGAACCATGCTTTCACTTTTCCTAAGCTTAGAAACTTCTTGCTGAGGAAAGTGGGATACCAGCCCAAGTCTCGGGCATTGTTTGTGTAATTTGCTTTTGACCGGTTCCCAGCTCCTTTTTGCTTAGCAGGAATAAAGGGAATGGTTGTTCCATCCAGGGTAGCTTTGCGACCTTGAAAGAATCCCTTCACTGAGCATGAGAAACGGTTGCTCAGGGTGGGCTGCAGCCATCAATATTTCCCGCCCTAAAATGAAATGGATTAACTCTTTCCCCGCCTGTTAATTGGGGCAGTCCATGGTACTCTGAGTCACGGCTCTGTGTCTTTTAAGCAGA